TTACACACACATTCACTTGCAAATTCACTGGGTTCGGCCTGACCAGGGGCGGTCAGACCGGCCACATAGTGGCGGTCTGACCGGCGTGCCCTGGCCGGTCTGACCGGCCCCGCGGGCGGTCTGACCGGCGGCACTTTCCCGGTCAGACCAGCCCCCTGGAGGCCGAGATGATGCTGCTCGGGATGGCCGATACAGAGCTGACGGAGCCGTAGTCGGTCAGACCGAGCTGATGGTGGTCTGATCGAGCCGAGGCTGGTCTGACCGGCCACCCCATGTCGGTCTGACTGGTCAGGCCGATGGGGCCCTCTGACAGCACTTCAATGGCTATTTTTCTGGCCGTTGCAGAGTAGCACGGTCTGACCGGCCACATACCTTCGGTCAGACCGGCAGAGCACAAAGTTGGGGGATTTCGCCACCAACGGCTAGTTTTGGTGAGTGGGAGTATAAATACTCCCCCACCAGCAGCAAGGGGGCTCTCTTGGCACCCAATTCAATTGCATACACCGCTTGCACCTCTCTCACACTCACTTGAGCTTTGTGTTCATCCATCTAGTGTGTTAGAGGGTTGTTTAGCCAAGAGTCAAGTGCATTTGCTTCCATTGTAGAGCTAGTGTGGCACTTGATCATCTCCACACCAGGTCATTGCTTGTTACTCTTGGAGGTTGCCGCCTCCTAGACGGCTTGTGGAGGAGTTGCCCGGTGACCTCTCCGAGAAGATTGTGAAGGAGGCCCAGCGCCGGTTTGTGAGTGGTTTGGAGTTCACCACCTTCGGAGTGAAGGAAGAACTACCCCGAGTGATCGAGGCTTGGGTAGTCCTCTCCGTGGGCCGGCTCCCGCCTTGCCCACCCCTTGACGAAGGGGGCGTGCGGTGGCTTCGTGGTTGAGCGGTGGAGTTGGGCTCGCCTCAACAGGGAGTAGGAAACCGGCGAGTTTCCGAACCTCGGTGAAAAATCTCTTGTCTCATTGTCTCATTTGATTGTCGCATTTACATTTGTGCAATTTACTTTCCTAGAGATATAATTGAGCCACTATCACCCTAGGTTTGCAAAACATAACTTAGTTGCTTAGTTAGAGTTCACCCTCACCAAGCCTAGCAACTTAGGTTAGATTTGATTAGGTGTTATTTAATTTTTAAATCGCCTATTCACCCCCCCTCTAGTCGACATCTCGATCCTACACTCTTTCTCACGAATGAGCAAAGCCTCTTGCCTCTCAAGAGTTGCATATTGGTCCTCAATTCTCCCAAGCAATTCACTCAAGTGTGGTAGGGATTCCTTAGTTATGGACTTGAACAATTCGTCATCCATAACCTCATCCTCCTCATCACTAACAAGATCAACATTAAATGACTTGAGAGGAGAATGTATCTTAGGCTCCTTTGCCATGAGGCAAATGGGAGCATCCTCATCACTTGAGTAGTCGAAGAGTCTCGGTGGTGATGAAGGCTTGACGGCAAACGTGGCGACTCTTTCTTCATCACTTGAGCTTGACTCGGAGTCGGAGCCGAAGATCATCCCAAGGTGAGCTTGGCCATAATGTTCCTGCTTGCTATGCTTGTGCTTCTCCTTCTTCTCATCCTTCCTCTCACCCTTCTTCTTATCTTCCTTGATGTGGGAACCATCCTTGAGGTGGGGGCAATCCGCAATGAAGTGCCCGGGCTCTTTGCACACGTAGCACACTCTTGTGGAGTGTTTTCCACTTGACTTGTTGGAGTAGTGCTTGGAAGAATGTCCCTTGAAGAAGCCGCTTCGCCTCATGAACTTGCCGAACTTCTTGACGAAGAGAGCCATCTCTTCATCATCGATCTCCGCCTTGCTCTTGCTCTTGCTCTTGCGGTTCTCTTCTTCTTCTTCCTTTGCCTTCAAAGCCAAGTCTTCCTTCTTGATGCTTGCGGTTGAGCTTTGGTTGATGTATTGGATGACATCCTTGGACTCTTGCACGAGCATGTCATGGGCAAGGATGCATCCGAGCAAATCATGAGGTGTGAGAGTCTTGTAGTCCGGACGCTCACGAATGATGGTCACCAAGGTAGAGTTCCTTGGAGTGATTGCTCGAACCATCTTCTTGACCACAACCTCATCGATCATGTCCTTGGAGCCAAGTCTCTTGATCTCATTGACGATCTTGCTCAACCGGTCGTACATGCCGCTTGGGCTCTCACCATCCAACATCACAAATCTCTCAAATTGCCCCTTGAGGATCTCCACCTTGGACTCACGAACACTATCCGTGCCTTCATGCAAGTTCCGAAGCGTGTCCCAAATCACTTTTGCACTCTCAATGCCATCCACACGGTTGAACTCACTTCCACTCAGGGCGCTAAGTATTGCATTAGCGGCTTGAGCGTTCTTGTGCTCGTTCTCATCGTCCTCCTTGGTGGGATCTTCGAGATTCTGCAAAACATAGCCTTTTTCGACTATTCTGCAAAACACTTTTAAAAATTGATTTTGAGCACTTTGATCACTCCTCATATGTCAATGCATCATCCCTCTTAATAGTGCAGCATTCCTATTGACTCAAATGAAAAGAAAAGTTACAATATACCATTTGCTCCTTTGCCGCATCACATCACATCAACGTATTTGGCGGGATATGCATTACGGTAACTCATTGAGGACATAACAACCTTCACATTTGCTTAAATAAAAATGTTAGTCCTCTCTAATCGCATTGTAATTAATCACCAAAATCATTAAGGGCCTAAATGCACTTTCAGTACTTTCAAAATAGTCCTATCGATTTGATTGAAATTTGTCATATTTTATCTCACAAATGAAGTCGAATTTTGGTAAGATTTTTTACATGGCTATTCACCATCATTTTATCCAAATGTGAGATTTTTTTTGCGATTTTTAGATGACTTTTTATTATAATTTACAATAGATTTCATTTAAATTAGGGCTTCCATCATATTTTTTTCCCCAAGAAGAGAGACGAAGAAGACAACTACCATATTTCTACTATATTTAGATATCTTCCATGGACACTCCACCCATTGATCCACTCTAGATCTATGTAGCCGATGGATTAAGAAAATATCCATTTTGATTCCCTCAACTTTGACCTAAATCTACTTCATATTCCTCAACTACAAATCCAGCTCATTTTGCCTCCTTGAGCAATTTTTAAAGGTGGTTTTGTCCTACGTGGCACATTACTTATTACGCATCCAATATGGCGTGTACATGCGCATACGTGGCATTACAGTTAGCCAAAAAAAATCCAATAGGATACACATCTGGTCGCATCTAACCTCGGCTTCCTCCCCATCTCCGTTCATTGGCCCTGCCACCTTACTACCTCCGTGACAGCCTCAAGAGCTCCATTGAATTGAATGCCACGACACGGTCAATTCCATGGTGGGGCCGATTACATCGAGCTACTCTATGACATCGGCTCCATGGTGGACCAAAAGGTGGAGAGGTCCGAAGAATACCAAGGTGATGGCCTCATGTTCGCCTCTCATGGGGACCGGGGACAGATGACTCGTGAGCTTGCTGACTGCTACCGTCGACTTGTGTCGATGCCTGTGCCACACGATGGCGGGTAAGGAGAAGTAGCCATTGGGGTGCTCGAGCTTGTGCTCCCAAGCAACCCAAAGCCCATGCCATGGCCCATCCCCAATCCCGGAGTAGCTCAATTATATTGTATTTGATGAATCGATGCCATATTTCTAAACTCAATTTATTTTTCTTTTCCGTGAGAGAGAGCAATGAGCAATAATGCAATGTTATAGGAAATAAAAAGGACACAGTGTACATGTACTAGCAAAGTACGCACATAGCATGTGGAATGTTTGAAATTGGTATCCAATCAATAATTATTTACAAATAATTTGAACAAATCTTCAAGCATCAATATAGTCTATTCGTACCTTTTGCAGGTACATGCAAAAGCTGTTTAGGATGCTAAGATAATTATTTGGATTAGTTTTCAATTTCTATGTATATGTAATATGTTAGTTGTGTTGTTGAAGTTGTTTTTACGCTTGTGTGGTCTTTTCATGGTCCCTGCCAATGAATTTTGTTTAGCATGCCCATCTTAAGGTATAGTGTTTATCATTAAAGTAAATTTCACAATATTGCAGGTATAATAGTTCAAAGTGCAAAATACCACGGGAATTTTGTTACATGTCATATAAACCCATACATTACAGTTCTAGTTTTTTTTATAAAACCAAATCATTAACCACTGTTTAACTAATCTTGATAATATTAAAAAAACATAAGTCAGTTAGATGCAACTCATATATTGTGGATCAAATAATTCGTAAATTCCGAATGTTATTTCAAAACTTATAAGAATGGTGAACCAAAGAATCATTAGTGAAAGGTGTGGTTTTATGAAACGCTAAAACTATCTTCATGGTTATGTGTCATATATTTGGCTTTGTGCAATTTGGATCATAATAATCGAGGTTTTGTGAAAATTATTCCATAATTTGTCTAGCGTGAAATATTAAATGACATAATTTATATGCAACATAATACCATAAAGGTTATTATTTTCAAATATAGAAACGTTAGTTGATCATATCACAAACGTTTGTTGATCATATCACATCTTTATTTGGACTCCATCATTCACTCTTCATCTTATTAACCGCAGACAAAATATAAATTTTAAATCTTAATTTCAGAGTTGATTTTGATTCGTCGTAGTTTATTTCTAGCATTGACCTTTAAAGTTGCTACAAACACACATATAGAAACTTTTGCCACAAATTAATTTTTTTATCGTGCTAATAAACACTACATCCTATAATCTAGGGTAGACGAATTGGCGAAACGATAGGGTTGAAGTTAATACGTGCCAAATCTATAACTTTATTCCGATGCATATATGCAAAGTAATATTAACACATACTAATATGCCTTCGAATTAATGCAATAACCATACAAATCATTACCCTAATTAACTTACTTATTTAAGATTAGATATGCTTCTCCTTGGTAGCACCCAAGCTTTTCTCTACCTTCTTCCTCCATGGTAGTCTAGCGAGGGTGCTCTCTCTCTCTCCAAAATTCCAAGGCGCTGCAGCAGCAGACAGCAGGTTTGAGAGAGAGAGAAGAAAAAAAAAACGGACACCGAAACTGTCCGAGACGCGACACCAACCGGCTTTTCTCTCTCCCCTTCCACCGCCACCGCCAACCCCTTCTAGAATCTTCTGGAATCCAGTCGGTGGCGGAGGGCGGAGGCTTCTGGAAGGCAGCGCGGGGATCTCGGCGGCGCCGGAGGCGTCCATGGCGAGGCCGTGAAGCCCTCGCTCGCCCGGAGGCCACGCGACGCGCGGGTTAGGAGGAGGAGGAGGGATCCGGGTGGGTGGGGTGGGGGGGACGAGATCCCGCGAGATGCAGATCCGAGAGGGGGGCCCGCGGCGCGGGGCGGCGTCGGCGGCGAGGTCGCCGATGTCCGCCATGATGCTCGCCATGTTCGCCACCATGGCCTCCTTCTACGTCGCCGGCCGGTGAGCCCGTCCCCTCCTCTCCTCTCGCTGCATTAGTCGCTTCTCGGGAATGTGTCTTCTTCTTCTTCGAGTGATTTGCCTTCGTTTGGAGATGGTTCTGGATTGTTGGGCTGTCACATTGGAGAGTTCGTGCTCTCGTGAGGAATGGAGGATTTTGCATTTGCATATACACACCTTTTGGATCTTGCAGTGGCAAGGTTTACGGTTTGCTTTTTGTTTTTTTAATTTAATAATAATAATTCATTAGTTCTCGTGCGAATTATTATTAGTTTTGTTTGTTTGTTTACTAGTAGTTTTTTTTGGTTTTGACGTTTGCTGTCCCTGGGAGGGAAATTCTGTTGACCTGTCCGAAATTCAGTCTGTGGCAGGATGCGCAGAGTAGGGTTTACCTGATTAAAGAGCTCGACAGGCGAACCGGCCAGGTTGGTGCCTTCAGATCTACCCTCTTCTACTATATCAATTACAACTAGCTAGCTTCAATTGAGAGTAAAGAATAACAGGAACTTCTTTGTTGTGCAAAATTCAGGGCCATTCGACGATATCGGTGGATGATACCTTGAAGGTTGTCGCATGCAGGTAATTCTGATCTCTACTGTATGACTACAATATAGTAAAACTGAGATGTTGTTGCAAAATTTGTTCTTTCTTTTCCCCAATTATTTTTGGCTCTATGTTGATTCGGGTGCTCTAAATTTGCGCGGCTTGTTTAGTTTGAGACTTCAGAGTTGTAGTGAATGCTCTGTGCTAATTGCTGAACATCTGAACATCATTATGTTTTAGGCAGCAAGGAAAGAGGCTGGCCTCACTTGAGATGGAGCTGGCTGCAGCAAAGCATGAAGGTTTCGTGGGGAAATATACCTATGAGACAAATGGAACTAACTCTAGAAAGAGGCCACTGATTGTTATTGGAATAATGACAAGCTTTGGGAGGAAAAACTACCGTGATGCTGTCAGGAAGTCATGGCTTCCGACAGGTACCATTTCGTACTTGCGTTCCTCACTACCTGTGGCACTTTTATATCCTATAATTATAAATAAATTAATACGGTCACCTTTACCCTTGATATTTGGTGGTCATAATTGACTTTCGAAGTCCTTAAAAGTTACTACTTTTTTTTATCATGGGGCATGGGTTTTTTCCTCAAACGTACAAGAGAATGGCGCGCGTCATTAAGAAGAGAAGAGGTATACAAGGGGAGGAAAATAATCCCATTATAAGGGGCAGAAAGTACAATGCATGGGGCATGGGTTTTTGTAGCTGTCTATTTATAATATTAATCACTAGAATGTTCGGCACTCTAGTTCATAATCTGGACTCATAGGTGGCTGAATGAACATGGAGAATAAAATGTATTTCTGTTGCTGCATAATAAAGTGGCACCTTTTTTTTTTGTTGACGGTTATCAGTTGATGTAAATAAAAATGAGTTGGCTTCATTTCATTGTTTTTCCGTCTTACTGTTGCATTAAAATGATGTCTGTTTTTTGGGTGATTTTAATTTTCTTCTCTGTACAGGTTCAATGCTGAAGAAACTAGAAGAAGAAAAAGGCATTGTAGTGCGCTTCATAGTTGGAAGAAGGTACCACAGGACTCCTTGCTAATAGAATGACTATATGAGGTCTAGATATCTGATAGTTCCTTATCCATGTAGTGTGAACCGAGGAGATGCTTCAGACAGGGAGATTGATGAAGAAAATAGAAGTACAAAAGATTTCATGATCTTGGTAAGCCTGATTGATCAATCAAACATGTGGTAGTACATATTTACAACATTGAATGTGTATATAAAATATTTTTCATCATAATTGTTCACCTTATTCATGTTGATTACATGTTGCTTGAAAACCAGATAAACGATGTGTGTGCATACTTGATTATATACGCCTTCTAGTACAACAACATCTGCCTTTAATCCCAAGCAAGTTGGGTAGGCTTATTGTGTATGCTTTTTTAGTATATGTTAAAAAAATCGTGCGCTGTGACTTGTAACAATGAGACTCCATGTTCATATTTTCAGATTACTCGTTTGGCCTGTTGATTTACTTCAGTTTTTTACTATTAAATGACATTGCAGGATGATCATACAGAGTCTGAAGAGGAGAGTCCTAAAAAGACAAAAAGTTTCTTTGCTAATGCTGCAGAGTCATTTGATGCTGAATTCTATGCTAAGGTCAATGATGATATATACATAAATGTTGGTACGTAGCATCTCTTCATATCATAGCTGTACTTATCCAATTTGGTATAGTTTTGTTTGATCAATGGTGCTTCTTTCTGTTCAAAATATTTGACACAGTATGGATGTGCATGAGATATTGTACTAGTGGCAGAAGTTAAGAAATGGTTGACCAGTATGCATCCTTCAATACAAAAGTGACAACTAATTTTGGTTAAAGGGAGTTTTAGCCATCCGCATATGGTGTTTCTATTAGCCCTTTTGTTATTGCTGACAGTGTTCCAACGTATTTTGTTGTTATGTGATCATGATGATAATGAATTTGGGGGGTTGGAGCACGGTTTCAATTAGCTGTGGTGCATGCCTCAATCTTGTGATCCTCACTGACCTGAATAAAAGGTCAATGTACACGTTCTAGGATGCTGGATGGCAATGGCTGTATAGGTGCTATAATTTTGAAATGTTGCACAAACTATTAATAACATTGAACAATTTGGGTTTGTGCAGACACTTTGAGTGCAATGCTCAAAGAACACTGGGACAAGCCTCGTGTCTACATTGGCTGTATGAAATCCGGCGAGGTCTTCTCTGAATCGTGAGTGCTTTCAGCAATTCTTTCTGGGGATATTGGTGCTGTATTTTTCCTTTGCACATTTTTCTAACAGCTTCCCCAAAAACAGAACTCATAAGTGGTATGAACCAGAATGGTGGAAATTTGGTGATGGGAAAACGTAAGTAATTTACATTAGGAAAACATTTATTGCGCATTTGCTAGTTGGGACATTTAAAAAAATTACTATTTTGGCTTATCTATTTCAATTTATCAACTAATAGGTACTTCCGCCATGCTTCTGGTGAAATGTTTGTCATCTCAAAGGCTGTAGCTCAATTCATCTCTATAAACAGGTAAGCAATGTATGTAGTTTGTACTTTCAACAAGGGTCTAATAGGTGGAAACAAAGAGAAGTTTCAGTAAGTACTTTTGGTGATGTATCTTTGACACTTCTGTATGTAGGTCTGTTCTCCGGACATATGCACATGATGATGTTAGTGTAGGATCATGGTTAATTGGTCTTGCTGTGAAGCATGTAAATGAAGCAAAACTATGTTGTTCATCCTGGCCCTCAGGTAATTATGCCTCCTTATGAAGTAAAACAATGTTACTGATTCTGTTTTCTGGTTGATAAGTGATTGTTATCCTAGTGACTCATATGATTGCGTCTATTCAAATGCCATATCAAGACAGTGACTACGTATTTATCACTGAAACTTCTGATACTTTTGATATAAACATATGAACGTGTGATAACCTTAGTTCATCAGATTACCTACATACTGAATGTAACACAGGATAGTAAACTCGGGAGAGATAGATGATCAATACCTTGAGGCAGGATAATAGGTGCTCCTAACAATGCTTGCGCTTACTCAGAGTAGCTAGCAATTAACCAATTCTTATCTCTTGAAGTGTCCTACCCCCAAAGACTATCCCTATTGTGGTGTACTATGCATCTGTTCTATGCACGTTTCTCCAAACTAATGTATTATATCTAATCAGTCAACTAAACAACCTATACTTGAATTTTTCACTGTTAGATATTGATGTAGTGGTTATGCACCATGTCTGCTGCTTCCTGGTGAGTCATGATGTGCACGTGAGAGCAGAAAAATTCAGATTATATAATCTCCACGAAGTTTTATAAGAGACAGAAAAAAAACGAATTTAGTCATAATCTATGTTTTTAAAAAATACACCATAGCTGCAAAAACTGTCACACTACCTATCTAGGTAATAGTCGGTTTCCTAAGAATACATTGCAGTATACTGGATAGTTTGCTATAGTGGTTTTTCTCAGGGGTGGAACAAGAAATTGAGAACATATTGCGGCATATATTTTGGAATTTTTGTTACTCATGGTGGTGCCACCAGGAGCTGGAATAATAAATTGGTGATAGGGGCGTGAATCCTATGAGACAACCGTAATTTCCTTTGGACTGTGTTGAAGCATGGAATGCCATGGTGCTTTTCATGAGCAATACACTGCACATAAATTTACTCTACTTGAGAACTAACATCAGTATTTGGTTTTAAATTTTAGACCATTCCACGTGTATGTCAAGTTATGGGTTGGCTAGAGGTTGGGTGGTGTAATGGTCTCAAGGTTTACTGAAATTTTAAAACATAATTTTGGAGTTGATTTTTTTTTGGGGGGGGTGGGGGGTGGGGGGGTTCATTGTAGTTTATTTTCCAGCATTGGCTTTTGAATTGCCAAGGACACAAATGTAAAATTTTTACCAACAAATTATTTTTTGGTAAACGGCTTATCTGTTTTAGGTCAAAACTATCAAGCTTAAAGAATGGAACTGCTAAATGGAATGCAAGTTTCAGGAGTCAGAATTGTTCTTATCAAAGATTTGATTTGTTGTGCACTTGGCAAAGCAGTTGTTATGATGTTGGGCCTCATTACCTGCTGTCAGTTAATGGTCCTGTATCTGGGGTGCATTTCTATGGTTATTATTATTGTATAAACATGCTAGGCATACTCCATCCTTTTACATCTGAAAGGATCTTGCATAAATATTGAGGCTAGAGGTCATGTAGAAGTCAAACATTTTTTGAGAACGGTGAAACAAAATGTGGTTAGTCTACGTCTATGTTTGTGGTTATTTTCCCCTACCTATTTGTGTTTTTTTTGTGGGGAACTATTTGTGAATTCAATGCTTGTGTTGTTAAGTCATTTCACTAGGAACTTCCATAAAACATAAATTCTAATGATCCACAAAATTGTACTTTGCAGGAGCTTTGTGTTCAGCTCTGTGACAAGCAACACTTTCGAGGGGAAGAATTTTGTGAAAATTATGTTAGGATCGAGATTATACGGAATGAAGCATACCATCTGCAGACAATGAGATCAAAACTGGCGTTTTGAAGATTTTGTTTTCTTCTGCCGTTTTCTGTGGCTCCCGTTGATCAAGCAGCACTAGTTCAAACTGAGCCATATATATCTTCTTTTTGCGAAGGAAAATCTTGTACTTTTTTTCCTGCAAGACCACACTGCTAAAATCAGGGATCCTAACTAAATTCCATCTGCAGATTGTATCTTGATTTTGCCTGTCGCTTGTAGATGTCCACCCTTACCATTCTTTTACTGATAGACACCATTGTTGGAGTGACAAAATCTAATAGCAAATCAGGAAATTATTTTACTCCATCAGATTACATCTCAAGTCTTATCTGTCATTTGTTCCCATGTACTGATGATGATTATGAATTTTGATAGTAGTACATAATGGCCTGCTTATTTGAGCTTTTGACTTGTCAATCGCAAAGCCAAAACCAATTTTGAATCGTAGGGCTTTCAAATAAGAACGATTAAATTCAAGGTTTTTGTTGTTGTTTCCATTACCATCTTTGGCTTTAAGACCGTTACAAGTAAACCCTGAAATTATTATCTGTTATTAACCCTGATTGTTATTTGTCGTTGCCTTGTCATAGGAAAAAATAAATCAAAACAAACAGCTTATCTCATCGTTTGCCATACAAAGAATTTAATTGTTACCAAATTTGAATTTTTAAACAGTTTTCGAGTTATTTTAATTTTTTAATTGACTTTTAGTCGCTAAAAAACATAATATAATTTTTTGTCTATAAATTATTTTTGAAGTTGCTCATAACCTGTTTTGGTATATAATTAGCTCCGATGAAGCCGTGGAAGCCCAATCAGCAATAGAAACAGTCTATCACCACAATTCTGCACATATCGAACAAAGAAATAATTTTAGTAGCACTTCACTTATTTACCATGAACAAAAGAAAAATAACGCATATGATAAATTTATGGTGACAAAATTTCAGAATTTGACTTTATCCCTCTGGGCAAACTTTTATTTGTGAAGCACATCTAACAAACAGGAAGAGGGAATGACCACAGAACTTCGAACCAAATAATAGTTTTTTTTAGGAAGAACAGTATAAAAAAGTCGTGGTTTTTTATTGACCCAGTGTTTTCCTGAGGCTGACAGCTGCAGTGACGCCACGCTATGAATAGATTTTGGCAAGCACGCTGATTTTCTTGTGGTTTGCTGGCCAAGAAAGCTCCCTGCTCCCCATTTGAATTTCCTCTTTTCTTTTTCAAATTTATGTGTGTGAGACCTCAAAGGTCTATGTTTTTTCTAATCATTTTAATATGCCTCCAACAACCGGTTGTCCGTTTTTATAACATGAGGAATTTGTATATGGGTATTAATAAAATGGTTAATTAAGTTGATAATAATTAATAAAAGTGTACAGTTGAGGAGTGTGCATCCACGGTATGCTTGGGAAAGCTACGCGGCTGTGTTCCTTTTCCATCTTTCCCAACTCATATGTCTCGTTTTTCGCGCGCACGTTTTTTAAACAATGTATTTTTTATAAAAATTTTCTATACGATAGTTGTTTTAGAAAATCACATTAATCTATTTTTTAAAAAAAAACTAATACTTAATTAATCATGTGCTAATGAGCCGCTCCGTTTTAAATGCGCATAAAATTAGTTACGAACATAAACTAATTCAGTATGGACTGAAAAACGAGGAATAAATTATGTGAAGTTTTTTTTTTCTAGAGCGATCGCATTTATTCACATTTATGCATGATTGTAGGAAATTCCTCCTACTTAAAATACCAAGCTCAATGCATAAATAATTGAGATGCGTGTCAAGTTATGCATTTCACAATTTCTTTTTAATAATGATGCATGAATTGTCTACAAGTGGGAGGGAAGTGTAATATTCTATGGCATAATTTTTTAAGACTTTGCAAAAGAGTGCATCTTGTTTCTTCAATTTCAAAGTATCATTTCTTCATGCTGTCAATTATATATTTTTCGTAGTGCTCGATCAATTTGCAGCCACACATATATTAACGATCAATTATATTTGTATTAGAATTCGTACTCCCATCGATAACGTCACGAGTAAGACCCATTTCAATTGCCATTTATGGTATAAACATATAAATCTTCCCTATTACATGTTCTAAATTAGACGTATCCTCCGAAGTTAATAATTATTGTCGTACTAGAGAGAGACACGGTCTAAAATATAACTTTCTACTTATTGTAATAAAAAATCAATAAATATATAATTTTATTGAAATAATATTTAAGATTAATTTATATGGTCCATTTTGGTTTGAAGCTAAATATGCCCAAATTATTGGCACTTTAAATAGTAACTTTGCTACCTAAATATGCTAGCATAAATAATTTACCCAAAAAGAAAGTATTACCAAGGCTCTATTTTTTCTGATTAAGATGCAAATTCTATTTTATTTTCTGTTAGCATGTTTTTCATATTGCTAAACATCATGTCTTGTGCGATTTTTATACAGAAGTTAATTTAAAATATTAGATAAATCTATTTTTCAAGTTTAAAACCATCAAAACTCAAATAATCCTACACCAATAACTTTCTCTTTTACATGCCCGTACGTAAATCTTCATCCTAAATTTCAGTCTCATCAATATTTTCATACGGTAGCAAACAAAAACAAGTATAATGTATAGAAAGTATTATATAAGTTAATCATCATAGTCAATGTTTTAAAGGATTGTCATCACTCTCGTCCAAATCAATAACTAATTTTATTTTGGAGGGAGTATATATATAACATAAATTAATTAATTAATTAAGGAGGTTAGTAAGTCTAACTTTTAACTCGTGTGGTAGCTAGAAAAGGAGTGTATTCCCCCTTGGAAAACCTAGTTGGTCACCCCCATAGGACATCTCTCTAGAAAAGAGACACCCTTTCTCTCTCCACCTCTCCCTCTCTCTCCTCTCTTCGAGGAGTCTCCCTCTCCTCTCCTCTCCTTCTAGAGAGAGAGAGAGAGGCGCAGCCGCCGCCGCCGCTCGCAAAGCGCCACGTCCCCCGATCGAGCCGGCTAGGGTTCCGCCACCGCCGCCGCAGCCATGGTGGGCTGTTCCAGAGGGGGCGGGGGCCTCCCCGCCTGGATGACCGCCGCCGCCGCCCGCGTCGATCTCTCCAGCGCCGGCGGAGGCGGCGGCATACCCGGCTCGGGGGCCTCCTCCTCCTCCTCCTCCTCCTCACAGCCCGGATACTCGGGGCCGCATCAGCAGGCTGGGGTTGCGGGGGCGGCCGCCGACCAGGAGCTCGGGATGGCCGAGCGCGCGCTCTCCGCCGCCGGCGCCGCGTTCGTCTCCGCCATCATCGTCAACCCTCTCGACGTCGCCAAGGTCGGGGTCGGGGGGCTTTCGCTTCCGCCGCGTGCACTTGTGTGATTGGTGGCTGAAAGTTTTTTTGTGTTTTTTTTTTCGTTTGCTGCAGACGAGATTGCAGGCGCAGGCGGCGGGGGTGCCCTACTACCAGCCGTCGCAGATGGCGTCGCTCGGCCCGGACGCGGTAACGAATCTGATGATCTCGATGCGGGTGCCGTGTGGGTGGTTTGCAATTTAGTTGTAGTTAGCCTCCGATTTCATGTGGTGTGGGGGATTCTTGCTTTTTGGGTTTTCGTGATTTCAGGCTAGTACATGATGTTTGTTGTGTGCTTCTACAGTTGACCAGGGTGATACTGTGTGGAATGCAGTTAGTGTTTCTGTTTGTTTTGCCATCTAATTATTAATATTACCCAAGCTGAATGTTGAGGTTCATTAGTTGAATGCAGGGGCATGCTAATCTGCTTGTTGACCCAGAATACCCAGAATTATATATGGTTTAGTACCTTGTTTTGTTGATTTGCATCGTCCTCTAGAGGAGCAAGTAGTCATATTGCTTGATTTCTGTGACGGGCAATCTCTTCTCTAGCCCGAATCAGTCCACGAGTTTGATTTCTTTTTTTTCTGTCATTCAATAACCATTTGAAGATGAGTCCTTTATAGCTCATGGGTGCCTGTGCAACGTGGGGTATAGGGTGCATGATGTTAATTACATTCGTAACATCGTTATGCTAGAGGATGCTTGGGTACTCAATTAGTCACCTGCACTGTATGTTGGTGAGGAAGTTGTGATTATTTTAGCATGTTTAAGGACTGTGTTTCAGTACTAAACTTGGCCACACACTACTGTGGTCAACACCATTTTGTTTAAAGCTTTAGGCAAATAATGTTGATGAATGGTATCAGCTATGGCAAAGATTAATTGTTCTGATCACCTATGTTGATCTTCTTTTCGTACATGCTATCTTCATTTCTGTAGTGCTACTTGCTGTTTTGTTTGATGTTGGCATATGAAGTATTTTCCTGCTTATATTATGCCTCTCAAAGCAAGATTGCTTTTGTGTCTGCTATATTTACCTATGGAGAAAGTATTTATGTAAGATTTGTTGGAACACCATTTTCCAGATCCACAATTCTCATGTTTGTTTGTCACTTTGTTTTATTTTATCATATGCCTATTCTTGTTTTGATCTGTTTTTGCTGATCAACAATCTCATTGCTTTTATGCTAATTGTAGAAGATCTTATTGGTCTTAACTCTTGAGCTTATTTGAAGAATACTGCTTATGTCTTGCAATGCTTTCCAGATATTATCTGATTTCAGATGTTCGCCGTCATGCACACGTGGTGTCATTTTGGGAAGTGAGCCTATTTGCCCACCTGACTGCTTTCAGTACAAGGGAACACTTGATGTATTCTTGAAAGTTGTTAGACAGGTAATGTGACTTTAATTCCTTTTTATAGTTTTATGCAAGTATCGATTTCTAGAGCACAGAGAATTTAACACTTTTGGTTAATTGGTTGTTACAGGAAGGATTTGGTAGATTATGGAGAGGTACAAATGCAGGCTTGGCGTTAGCAGTACCAACTGTGAGTTTTTTTTCTCAATGTATTCCATTTTTGTTTATGTTGTATTTGACAAATGTTCTATGATGTATTTTTACATGTGACTAGCATCTGTTGATTAGTTCTGGTCTTTGTGGCAAATACTATGTGAAATAGGCATTGCCTGCACTTCTCTATGTCATTTGGACTTTACTAGTATAGTGCGTTCCACATATTTCTGCTTAGGTTTGTTGTCTTATATTAATCTACCTAAAAAACTCAAGCCACTAGCTTATATGACCATCTTTTTCCCCTGAATAAGGTATACCATGCCATTTCTGAATTGGGCCTTAATCTTTAGACATATCAACCTGCTAAAATTAGATATATCACCTAATACTCCAGTCTGCACATGAATCTGACGTTATTTCTTCATGTTTTCTTTTTCACACCCTAATTTTGCCTGTCATGTGACCCTTTAATGTTTGAACTGAATCTTGTCTTTTACTAATGAGTTTGACCATAAACAGGTTGGAATATATTTGCCTTGCTATGACCTATTTCGCAACTGGATTGAAGATTTTACACAAAGTAATGCTCCTGGTTTGACACCATATGCCCCATTAGTAGCAGGATCAGTCGCACGTTCTTTGGCTTGCATTGCTTGTTCCCCAATTGAGTTGGCAAGGACACGGATGCAGGTATATCTCCATTGGAAGTTTCTGGTTATTAGTATTTGTGTTTCTGTGAAACCAATTATGTCTATAATTTTTATTTTTGGGCATACAATTTGACAAATGTAATAATTTCTTTCTCACTTAAAAGCACCTAACAATCACTATTCTATGTTCACAGGCATATAAAGAATTTCGTCCTGGAGTAAAGCCTCCTGGAATGTGGAAAACATTGCTTGGCGTTGTTTCACCACTTGCAAGCTCAACTCAGAATGGTTAGTTTGTTCATTTCAATACATAATGGATTATTCTTGTTCATGTTTATTGCAACCTTGATATTCATAGTAGGATTTGTCAATTTCAAGTATCTATATCTCTGTTCTAACAAATGAAACAGTCTATTAAGGAAATGAATCCTACTATTAATGCATTTATACTGAAACAGCACAAAATTATCGTGCTCTTTGGACGGGTGTGGGTGCACAACTTGCTCGGGATGTTCCTTTCTCTGCTATATGCTGGTCAACACTGGAGCCGGTAAATCCCTGTTCTGTCACTTAGTAGTTATGTTTTTGTTTGCTAATGTGCATGCCAGTATCATTTGCTAAATTCATTTTAAAATTAATGGTATCTTAACTTACTATCATTGTATGCAGATTCGAAGAAAGCTGCTTGGTATCGTCGGAGAAGAAGGTGATGCAGCTAGTGTGCTGGGTGCAAACTTTGCAGCTGGCTTTGTAGCAGGTAGTCTTGCTGCTGGTGCTACATGCCCTCTAGATGTTGCTAAGACAAGGAGACAAATAGAGGTCTGCACATTCTTTCCCACTTCCTTCGTTTTTTTCTGCAATAAATATTCAAAAGAATATTGTTTCTGTTTTAACATCCCAATCACATGCCCCATGGTGCACTATTTATTTAATTTTCTTGCCATTGTGTACATCTTGTTTGTTTCTTTTCTGTTTATACTTCGCATTAATTATATCATTTTTCAGAAGGATACGCAAAAGGCAATGAGAATGACCACAAGGCAAACATTAGCTGATATTTGGAGGTATGTCTTCCACATGCTATGAAAAGGCATTTCATTCCAGCCAAATGAAAATTATTTTCTAGTGGTGCTATAGTGGTATATATTTTCAAGAGTGAGGTACATGGGCGGTCCCTAAACTTGTGCCGGTGTGTCATCTAGATCCCTGAACTCCTAAAATGCATTTTTAGGTCCTTGAACTTGCTATGTATGTTATATAGGTCCAAACAGGTTCTAACCCACTCGATGTGCTGACGTGGCAATGCCACGGTGACGCCTACGTGTCAGTGGAATCCACATGTCAAGCATATATAAAAAATAAAATTAAAAACCATATTTTCTCCTATTAGGTAGACAGAAAAAAAGATAAAAATTTTAAGGTAGAGAGGAGAAAATATAATTTTCTAATTATATATTTTTTCTATGTGACTGACACGTGGGTCCAACTAACACGTATGAACTATCGTGGCATGCCACATCAGCGCATGGAAGGGGTTGGAGCTCGTTTGGACTTGTATGACACCCCAAAACAAGTTCAAGGATCCGAAAATGCATTTTGAGAGTTTAGGGACCTAGATGACACACCCACACAAGTTTAGGGACCGCTCGTGCACTTCACTCTATTTTCAAACTTGATCTACTTACAAGTCAATGTATTGAGCCTATACGTAAAACTACATTTTAGCAGACATTTCTGCCTGGGTCACCTTGTTTGAAGAGAATGCAGGTTATCTGAACTGGTCAAAGAGTTAGCAACATGCCTAGCGAGAGCAATCAATGGCTTTCTTCTTAGAAATGGCTGTTGATAGAGAATAACAATTGGACGATTAATGAGATCCTGATTTTATTTTTTTGAAACGAAGAGATCACTGAAACTTTGACTGTTGCATCCATAGGAAAACTAACATAGAACTACACTGGAAAACGAAAGGCTTTTTTTTTTTGGTACAACAAATACATTACTGAAAATAAAAGCAGAAGAGCTAATCCTCACACTGAATACATTGCTGTGACTCTGTGAGATGGCAATGGGTGCTTGAACCAGCTGTGGCCCACCCAAATTATGTTTGTTTTAGCTGGTTTGGCTAATGCCCTAATTTGTTCTAGAAAGCATGTTTTGCTTGTTGCAAAAGAAAGGTGGGTTTGATCAAGTTTAGTGGTTGCTCTCCATTTTAGTTTTATCTTCTAAAATGTAGGTGTAATTTCTTGTATTACATTTTCATTATTTACCCCTGAGAGGTCTTGGCTTGGGGAGTCGATTTCAGTTGGACTGATTTAATTTTAACCTGGCAGCTCTGGAGGTATGAAAGGCTTGTTCACCGGTGTTGGTCCACGTGTAGCACGAGCTGGCCCATCAGTTGGAATCGTCATTTCTTTCTACGAGGTTGTGAAGTATGCTCTTCATCAAAGGCACATATCATGACCAAGATTTGTGCAAAAGGTAGAAAGATGTCTGCAATTTTGTAAGAACACGGCGTAGCCTGGTCTCCCAAGTTTGTGCTGGTCAGTTACTAGGAACTTTGGTGGGACAGGGCTAGGTGTAACTTAGAAGATCAAAGTGCTCAACAGTCGACAAGCCTTTCATGGATCAGCCCAGTATGGCCTGATGCTCTCTTTGAAGATTTAAGTTTTTGCCATGGAGTGATCTCCAGTTTTGTTAGGGATGGACCATGCATAATCTAATCTTTCCTTTTGTACCAGAAGCTGGAAGTGCTTCGTTTAACTTTGCAGGAGGACCTGTAGACTGTAGTGGAAGATGTAGCACTGACACTGATAAGTTAATAATAATAACCTTGGATATGGTATCCCCGAACCACAGGAGAAGCAAATTTTGTTGTGTTATTTCTGGGATGTTGTTTATGGTTTATACCATCTTTTGGTTAGGACTGGCTGTTGAGCTCATTTCTAATTCCTTTAATTTTTTGTGTTCACTAGAAAGTAATATTTAGACGTATCCATCTGTGTCAGAAATTTCAAAAATTATGCTAGACTTGTTAATTAATGGGCTACTCGAGCACCAAAAGAGCTTTCCCTTTTTTGTGTGTGGGTTAAATGGTGCTTTTTTTTTTTTTGCAAATGCATAAAATTCACGTGTAAAGACAGAAAAAAGAGCAAAATTACGATAGATTTATACTTCTAAAACTGTCATAATTTTTATGGCTAAAATATAATAAATTTGAGGGTAAAACTGTACACACAATGTAATATTAGTGGAAAAAACTGTATAATTTTTTCTATATTTTTTGAAATTTATTAGTTGGCATGAAAAAACAAACTTGTGTGTTTTCACGTAAGTGGGCTATAGGAATTGTATAGATACTATTCTATGACCGACTATGACTAGTCTATTAGATTTGGCTACAATGAAAGGGCACAGGAGGGGGGGGGGGGGGGGGGGCGTGTTTAGATCAGTGGTAGTGGTGTAAAGTTTCAGCGTGTCATATCGGATATTTTATAGAGTATTCGAGCACTAATAAAAAAACTAATTATAGAATCCGTCAGTAAACATGAATTTATTAAGCTTACTTAATCCGTCATTAGCAAATGTTTACTGTAGCATCATATTGTCAAATCATGGAGCAATTAGGCTTAAAAGATTCGTCTCGCAAATTAGTCGTAATATGTGCAATTAGTTATTTTTTTAACCTATATTTAATTAATACTTCATGCATGTGTTCACACGTTCGATGTGACAGGGTAAAAAATTTTGATGTGGGATCTAAACAGGGCCTAAATATAGTTAACAATTGGCTATGACTATGACTAGCTATTAGATTTGGCTATACATGAAAGGGCAATAGATATAGTTAGCAATTGGCTCTACTCAGAGAAAGAGGAGGAATGTTATCAAAAGGTTTGTTAGAGCAAGTATAATAATAGTAAACTATAAACTAGCTACAATCATATGTGAAGGGAGAGAGATAAGGAAAAATGTGAAATGTTGATAAAACTAACCTTATAGCTAGCCTACTATATAGCTAGTAGTTAGATTTACCATTAAACTTGCTCTAAGGTAGAGGTTGGAGACGAGGCGTGAGATAAAAAATCAATTATAGTTGTGTATTGGTTATGTAACTTAGTATTACCTCCATCGTAGAATTAGTTAATCTAGTACAAGATATGTAGAGATAATTTCTTATGTCACTTGAAATTGTCCTGTTTAATTATCTGCCACTCCGATTTAGCTCTTTCCATCTAGGCACTGGCTCAAATTTGTAAACACTCTTGTGCCACTACTGTCACTCCACCAGCTATTGACTCTCTCTATTTCAAAATATAAGACACGACCACCCTTAACCCAAAGGCTAAGAAATAATTGTTATTATTACCTTCTAGTTTGGATTACCCTAATAAATATAATGCATTTACCCAGAATTAGAAATCTTGAGGACGGAGGATGTAAAATAATAATAATTTAGTAGAGAGGAAGTGCTAATTAAATATGAAACATGTGAAAACTTAGTTGTGCCTTATATTATGGAATGGAAGGATTATTATCAGAATATATCATATCTTGTACTCCCTCCGTCCCAAAATAATTGTCATTTTGAGTTTTTGTTTGTAAAGTTTGACCATTCATCTTATTTAAAAAAATTACGGAATTTTTTTTGTGACTTGCTTTATTATCAAAAGTAATTTAAGTATGACTTATTTTTTTTATATTTGCACTAATTTTTTAAATAAGACGAATGATCAAACGTTGCAAGCAAAAAGTTAAAACAACATCTAATTTGGGACGAAGGTAGTAGTAGATTAATTATTCGAGGACATAGGGAGTACTAACCTATAAAAAGATTATTTTGGAATTTTCTAACGCAATCTTTAATTTGAACCTCCTTTTAAGAGTACCAGTATACTGTACACGATCGCTATCGGAAAATCACATCCACCTATCTTACGCCTTCTCATTTTTTTCATTTTTAAAAATCTATCTACGAATTTAGACTGAAGCCCCGTTTGATAGAGCTCCAATTTCTAAATTTAACTATAGGAGTTAAGTTTAAAGTGGACTACCTCTCTAGTTCATTTTGTGAGAGCGCTCTATCCAATTTCACTCTCATTTTAGATGGAGCTAAAATTGTTTTGCCGGACTCCACCTCTAGGGATTTATGGAGTTGAAGCTGGAGCCGTGCCAAACATGTGCTAATGTCCATTCTCCTACTTTCTCTCTACCCCAAGCTATTTTCTAAAAAACAATATAGTACACTATGATTGTATCTTGACTTGGCTGACCGAACAGCCGCAAGTGTAATGAAATGGATCATTATTAACTCATAATTAATTATAATTACTAAGCATTATAGGCTCCCATCGTATGGTCTAATCAGTCAAAGAAAAAGTTAAAATTTAAATTTTTAAACTTAATTTTAAGATTGATTTTGAGATATTTTTAATGTAGTTTCTTTTTCAGCATTGGTTTTTAAGTCACAAATAACACATATATAAAAGTTTTACCTACAAATTTATTTTTATTTCCTAATAAGCCGTTTTGGCTTATTAGAGGAAAAGCCAAACGATGGGGCCTATAATATAGCAAATGAATTTATTCAATTTAAACTTTTATATAAATTTTTTTGCGGGCTCAGAAAGCATAAGTTTTTGTTGGTAAAAACTTTATATTTTTTTTAAGTATTTATAGCATTACTCAACAATGAAATACTAGTCTCAAACCCGTACATGCATGGGCGATTGGCGAAGTTGATCGACCGCACTTGCCCCAAAACTTAGGAACCAACTGCTCGACCGCTCGACCGCAATTAGCTTTTTCTCGTTATTATCCAATTATTGACAAATCCATTGGATGGTTTCCTCGTCCTCATTGTCCTAGGAGTAGGGAACCGACGAGATGATCCGGGCGAAAACGCCAGCATATGCGAAGGGCGGAAGGGGAGAAGAAAATTGCACCCTGGAAGTAGGGCTGTCTAAAAAGCTTGGAGCTCGCAAGCTGCTCGAGCTTGATTAGTTACAGGCTTGATTCGAGGCTCGAATACTAAACAAGCCAAGCTCAAGTCTAGGCTGAGGCTCGCAAGCCTAGTAAGTTCGAACTCGAATAGCTCGGCAAGGCTTGATTAGTATAAGATGCATTGCATTTAGGAAGATATTCTTAATGGATCAATATATACTTGTCATCGTGCTTGATCTGTTTAAGTCTTAAGAACTCATCAATGCTTCTCAATAAAGCAATTATCCGGCTGCTAGTAATAGTACTACTATTCCTATTAGATGTAGTAGCTAGCTTTTGTTAATTGCAACGTTTCAAAGCCATAAATTCATGAGAAAAGCTGCATAGGCTTCGTTCAAGACAAGTAGCACCCATTAATTTTGACTACTGATAATTTGCATTAATATTTCTTATGGAAGAGTAAGTTCTTTGAAGTTCCACCAAGTCAAGTTGTCAAACTCGAGTAGGCTCGAAGCTCGCTCGAGCTCACTCCTAAGCTCGATCAGTATCCAGGCTCGGCTCGAGTTCATGTCAAGCTCAAGCCTATATAGCCAAGCTCGCTTGAGCTCGGCTCGTTGACAGCCCTACCTGGAAGGAGCGATTCATCTTGCACAAGGACAAATTGTGTGGGTCCAAGGAACAACGATGAAAATTTTGGGGTGGGAGAGAGGTGGGATCTGGATTTCTGGATACCATTCTGTTTCTTTTTTTCCCGCGATAACAACGACGGACGACGCGCACGGCAAATCGTGCTATGCATTCCCCAGTCGGATTTGAAGGCGACAGATTAAAGAAACTGTGAGTACAGAATCATCTTCAATTTTATTGAGTAACATGTAAAGATAAAGATATAGTTGTCAGGTTACGGGTAAGGTATACCATCTACCCTTCGATATACGTCACATATCTATATAGTATACTTGCGCGTATACGGACGTTTTCAGCATACGTTAAGGAAATTCATCATGGAGTTCACAGATGGAAGGAGTCCTACTCGGACAGAACTGGGTCGTCATTGTATCGTGCCGGGTCCGATGTCTACGAGTCCTACTTGGAGACCAGTTGACCTGCGATATAAAAGGGACCCCCCGGGAGGACCTAAGGCATCGAATCTCGTAGCCAATACATCCACCACATCCTATAGAGTTGAAACCTACAGGAGTCAAGTCGCCGGGGGATCTAATTGAACCTGTTCGATTACGACCTTGTCGGTATCATCGAGTTCCGCTTTTTCCTCTGTAATCTGTGGTTTCCATCATATAATCCCATATCAACTGGATTAGGGCTATCACCTATCAAGGGGTCTGAACCAGTATAATATTTGTTTTCTGCCTGCTTGATGTCGTATTACGTAGATCCTCGTACCGGTGTACCCCAGTACCCTCTATATCCGGTCTACGGGTATCCCCCGTCGACAATACCCTCTATATCCGGTCTACGGGTATCCCCCGTCGACAATAGTATAAAATAAAATCTAGTCTTTTACTTAAAATATTTTCTTAACAGAGAGCCTATAATACTAGCAGCACCAAAACCTCTAAGGCTCTGTTCGATTTAATTGTTTGGAGCGACATTTTCAGCGCATGTGAAACGAGAAAACTCATTAGCAAATGATTAATTAAGTATTAACTATTATAAAATTGAAAATAGATTTATTTATTTTTTTCAAACAACTTCTACATATAAACTTTTTGCTAAAAATACACCATTTAATAGTTTGAAAAGTATGCTAACGGAGCACGAGGAAGTTGAAGTTTGAAGTTGAAAAAAAATGAGCCTAACTCTTATAGGTTACTAGCAAAATGCCCGTGCGTTGCACCGGATAATGATATGGTGACTGAACTTTGATTTGAACTATTTATATGAAGAAAATGAATTGTAATTTAATGACATATAAATTTTCTGCAATATTAATTACACTCTTTGAAATTATAGCAAAAGTGTCTTTGCGTTGCAACGAAAAGAAAAAAAAGATAAAATTGAATTAAAACATATTAAATTCTAATTAAATGAAATACAAAATTTCTGACATATTTGGGTATTTTTTAAGTAGTAGGTATATAATTAAATTAATTTATAAGTAAAGTAAGTGTGAGAAATAAAATGTTATGATTGGATTAAATTTTTATTAAATTTTCTATATTAATTACACTCGTTGAAATTTTCTTGGAATTTACATAGCTTAATTGTTAATTTTGATAATACAAATATCATTTCAGCATTTATTTAAATAAAAATCATTTTTTCTCTATGAGCCTTTTTCAGCCCATTTTCTTCTTCAGCCAACAGGGTGCGACGGTGACGGTGGGGTGCGGCGGAGACGGCGCCCTCCCCACGGTGGCGTCGACGGCGTCCGCGCTCCCTCTCCCTCTCTCCTTCCTGTCTCGCCGGCACGGTGTAGCGACAACGGGGTGCGGTGGATTTTTTTTTTTTTGCAATTTTTTCCATGGCTATTGCTAACCAAATCGGATTGTGTACGGACGAAAATTAGATGTGATGAAAGAAAAAATACGAATATTTATATTAGTTATAGATATAGATAGTATCACACAGAACTATGCTGTACTGGGCTGCTGCTTCTCTGCTCTGTGGGCTGGCTGCTGGGCTGCGTTTGCTTTATGTTAGGCCGGCTTGCTGCCGTCTTGGCTGGGCTGCTCGCTAGGTTTTTCTTTTTTTCGTTTCTCTTTTTTTTGCGGAGCGTCAGAAATCGCCGTAATGCATCCAGATTCACGGATTAGCCGCGAAATAATCACATGGGCCCACTCTTTAATGACGGAAAAAAATCAACCGGAAGCCTTACTTATTTTTTAATTAGGTATAGATATAGATATAGATAGATTTATCATCTTGACCGTCCGTTGTCTGATCTATGGTTAACGCTGTCGGAACTCGGAAGCACACTACTCGAGAGCAGATCTCGCCAGTCGGTCGGTGCAGAAAAAAAAAGCCCAAAAAAGAGTCAAACCTTTCACCTTCTCACGCCAAAAAATTGAAATAGCACAGGAAAAAGAGTTAATAATAATAATAATAATAATAATAATAATAATAATAATAATAATAATAATAAACTCGTCGTCTCCAACCTTGGCCTCCTCCTCCTTCCATTTCCGTTACTCCCCCAACTCCTCTCCTCAGATCTCGCCTCGCCTCCAAACCCTAGCTCCACCCTCCTCCTCCCCCTCCGATCCGGCAGCGGTGGCTCCCGCGGCGGCGATGCGGGGTTCCATCGCGACCTACCGGGAGAGCCTCTCCCGCCTCGCCGGCGAGGTCGACGACGCCGCGGCCGACGAGGCGGAGCCCCAGGCCTCCGCCGCGTCGTCGCCCCCAGCGCGGGGCGCAGCCGATCGCTCCCACACGACGCCGCCCTCGTCCGGGCGGCGGAGGCGCTACTCCGCCTCCGCCTCCTCCGCCGCCGCCGCCCGCCCCGACCCCGCCGAGCCCGACGAGGTGCCGGTCCGAAATGCTTTCGCGCGAGGGGATGTCGTGTGTCGAATTCGTTGCGCGCGATTCGAAAATCTTTTACCTCGGTAGCTCGGATGCTTAGGCTTTTACTACTCGGTATATGGATTTCTCGGCTCACATTGACAGGATAGTAGTAGTAGACTAGAGAGGGGCAATCCGTGTTGCCCAACTAACGCTTCTTGTTGGAATTGGAAAATAAAATTATTTGAGCAGTCTTTATGTCGCTTGGATGCGAGGCTGATGATGTTCAACATAGGGATTAGTGTTCCCGCTAATGCTTTTGTTGATGATTGTTCGAATTTTTGCACATGAGTGATTTTAGGGGTGGTGTTGGTGGTGACAATAGGTTTCATCTGAACACTTCTAACTTGGCAAGATACCAAAAGTTTAGGTTGTTGGACAGTAGACACTATGCTTGGAAATGCTGTGAATAATGGAGAGTCAAATGGTCGGGTTGGTGACTAGTTGCAAGTAGTGAGAAGTGAGCCCCTTGTTAGGCAAGGTGTGATCCAAATCTAGGCAGTCTATTAGTACCTTATAAGGCATCTGACAAACTCACCCAAATACATATCCATGATGCAGGTTGAGTATATTAGATATCATAAGAGTCTTGGTTAGTGTTATTAACAGTATTGAATCTCCAGGAATAAAAAAGTGCTCCTATTTGTTTTGACCTTTTGTAAGTTTGAGCGAGGTTCTTTTTATTGCATGGTTTAATATTTCCGAACAAACTTCCTAGAGAGGAGTAACAATTCTTATTTGCAATGATGCAATTGTATTTTTCATTATAGGTTTCTAAACTCAAAGAAGATATTCAAAAGCTTCAAGTTTCAGAAGCTGAAATAAAGGCATTGTCCTTCAATTATGTTGCGATGTTGAAAGAAAAGGAGGTATTTATGCTTGAAAGATCTGTTTTTCCCTTTTCTGTATATGATTGGCAGGCCATATTTTACTGGAAAGTGGAAATATTATTATTATTATTATTATTATTATTATTTCTGCAACGGTGAACTTCTAAAGATCTAGGGTAACGTTCTAACAGGAACAACTGGGAAAACTTCGTGAAGAAAATGGCTCATTAAAAAGAAGTCTGGAGAGTTCAAAAGCAGTTTCAGCCAATTCTAATGTACGAAGTTCTTATTGACCACAATGTATGCAGAACGGTACATCAGCAACTTTACTTTTTTTGTAGGGTGCTTTGGAAAGATCCCCTCGTGGAGTGCAAAGAAACACAGTTCAAGATAATCCATTGAATGTCTCAAAGCAAAATGGATATGGTGGTGGTGCTTCACAGGGTATCCAGCCAAATGGCTTGCACTCAATGACAGGGCATCGCAAGGTAGTTGTAAGCAGTTTGATGGCATATTTTGTTGTCCTACCATGAACATTGAAGAATCAACACTTCATTTGAAATAACAATAACCCTTTATTTAATGCAAATCATCTCAGGCAGACATCTCGGAAGGGGACCGATCTTTCTTTGCTGCTAAACAGGCTAGCCTTGAAAATGAGATCAAGCAATTGAAAAAGCAACTTAGTGATAATTCTGAGAAAGAAACTGAAACAAAAAGGAGGTTAGAGGGTATGTCGGAGAGTAATCTAAAATATTCTGTCTTTGAAAAGCGTGGAAACCATCACCGTATATTCATCTTTTCTTATATTCTCTACTTTTCAGATGAACACAAGCGGAATGAATTGCTTCAGCAACAGCTAAATGAACTAAATGTCAGCAAAGAGAGGGTATGTTGCTTTAAAACTGGATATATTCTTGAGCTTCAGTGTGCATATCATAGTTTTACGAACTATTTATGTATCTTTATATTTTTATATTATTATTGCTCCCATGCTGCACCATGTATTTTTATTTATGCATGATGTCATTGTTCCATTAATTTCTTCTGTTGCCTGCAAGGAAAGTTGAACATCCTTTTCCAATGATCTCATAGATTTCAACTAACATGGAAGAGCTACACAATGAGTTGAGTGAGAAGGAGGCAAAGTTGAGACGCTTGCAAGAGGATTTGAGTAGAAGGGAAAAAGAGCATGTATCAGATGCTTCCCTTCAGAGCCTAAGAAGTATGGTGATGGCTTTACAGAAGGAGAACTCAGATCTAAAGGTCTCAATTAATGGATTGATCACTTCTAATACTTTGTAAATGATCTTCGAAAAAAATATACTATGTGTCAAGAATAGCTGGAAGCATCATACCGTAAACAAAATTGATTTCTGAAAATTTTTACTTCTGTAGATAGAGAAGAGCAGGCTCGAGGCAGATCTTGTGAGGAAGAAAAGTACCTCACAAATAAATGAAGTTGGTACATCAGATGTTAATGGGATTTCTGATGTGGAAAAGGTATGTGACTGTATGAAATGCAGTAGCTGAAGTCCTGGAAGACGCATGGGCAGATTGTTGGGCTTTCTTTGGTTCAGCTGAACCATTATTTGTTGTTTTACTTTTATTAATTCCATAATCAGAACTTTGATGTGATATAACCTTAATATGCCTAAATTTTACTTTGATGAAGTGAAATCGTCTGAGGAACTAGGTTGTAATATATCACTACGCATGTTGTCAGCTGAATGTCTTGTAGCGTGTAGTAATGGCAAGAAAATGAAAATACTGATGTGCTTGTAGTTCAACTGTTAAGGTTAAGGAAGAAATGGCTTCATTGAAGAAATCATTACATGATGCTTCCTATGAACGAGACAAAGCAGTTCAAGATTTGGCTCGGTTGAAACAGCATTTGCTAGATAAGGTAAGCATTTAATCTTATTTCTTTAATCACACACTCAATTTTGTAACCACCTAATAAGATAGTGTGATTTCTTGCTTTATCTGTTTGCTCTGATTCTAACTTGCATGCAACAGCTAGTGCATATTTAACCTGCTGTGCTGTTTAAAAATATTGGTGCTAATATGCTTATTGACACACTATTTTTCATAGGACCTTGAGGATCAAGAAAAGATGGATGAAGATAGCAAACTCATTGAAGAACTGCGGGCAATCTGTGACCAGCAAAGGGCTCATATAGTGCAGTTAGAAAGGGCTTTGAAGTTTGAGATGGCGAAGCAGGAGGAGAGCAAGAAAATCATTAGTGAAGAACACCAGAGGTCAAATGAACAAATAACAGATTTGAAATACAAGCTTGCAAACTGTATGAATGCCCTTGAATCAAAAAACCTGGAATTGCTAAATCTGCAGACTGCCCTTGGACAGTACTATGCTGAGAGTGAAGCCAAGGTTATTTAAATCTTTAAACTTTTCATTCCTCAAAATTTATTTTTTTATTGTGAATTTCTGCTTGATTTTGATCTTGACATATATGTGTACGTTATTATATAGGAACGGCTTGGAGGTGATTTAGCTATGGCCAGGGAAGAATTGGCTAAATTGTCAGAGTCATTGAAGGTAGAGTACAAGTTCATCTAAAATTATAATATGTACATGCTTGAGCAAGTGTTTGTTGACTTTGCTGATTGTGATTATCATTTCTGAATATCACTTGACCTACTTCTGTTAGATTATTGAGTTAATGTATATGTTGCTTTTGTACAAGAGAACATGCATTGAGCGCATATACTTTGTCTTGGAATATGTGTCACACTGCAAAGTTATTGTTTTTATGCAGGTGGCAAATCAAGCAATTGAAATTTCAAGAAGAGAAAAGGAAGAGGTAGCTGCCAGGCTTTCACAAGTGGAGGGGATGTTGGCAGATGGGAAGCGCTCCATGCAGAAGCTTGAAAATGACAATTCCAGATTACGACGAGCGCTGGAACAAAGCATGACAACGCTCAATAGGATGTCACTCGATTCAGATAATTCTGTTGACAGGTGTGGAGTATTCTTTGGTTATTCTGCTTATTTAATGATTTTGATGTATAACATATACGCATGCACAGCTGGATTTTGTAGTTATGCACTGACGACAGAGTGAATAATGAAGATTGCTGGATTCTATAAAATTTTAAAGCTTTAAAGCATGTATCCATGAACATACTTTAGGTAGGTTAAATTTTGTTCAAATCAAGAAAGTGGAAAATCAGTGGAAGACAGATAGCTTTCTGTTGTTATCATGCTCTCTCGTTTTTGTTTCTATAAAAGAATCGGTGATTGATACAGCCTTCTAACTATTTAATGGGCATAACATGCCATCTGCCAAGTTGAAGCCTTTTTAATTTTAATTTTTTTGACCATGTTTTCTGCCGAAGTTCTCATGTTTCCTTGTTATGCACACTATTTATGTGCTTATTTGTGCGTGCTCTTTTTTGTGACCTACCTGTACTGGCTTTCTAACATATATCAAACGAATAAACCAAAATTTTCTTGCAGGCGCATTGTGATTAAACTACTGGTCACTTACTTCCAGCGGAATCACAGCAAAGAGGTGTGGCTCCTTCAAATTCTTTATGGTCTCATGAACTTTTCAAACTAAAAAATTCTTATAAAATAACAATGTGGCTTATGCACAGGTTTTGGATCTTATGGTTCGCATGCTTGGTTTCTCTGAGGAAGACAAGCAAAGGATTGGTTTTGCACAAAGTAATGCTGGCAAGGGTGTTGTCCGGGGTGTTTTGGGTCTTCCAGGACGCTTAGTTGGAGGCATTGTTGGCGGAAATTCAGCAGGCAAACCTACTCAAGCATCTCAGGACAACCAGGTGTGATCTCTATGTGTATTACACTTTCTTGTTTCCATGACGATAATTTTTTAAGGCATGATCTCTCTGAAGTTCAGTACCTATATTAGAATACTTTTAAAAGTACATTAACTGTTAACACTGGTTTTCTTCTTTTATCTTTTTTGTTTACTTTCTGCGTAGCTAATATTGATATCCTCTTTATGAATTATTTGCAGTCATTTGCGGATCTATGGGTGGACTTCCTGCTCAAAGAGACGGAAGAAAGGGAAAAACGAGAAGCATCCGAAACTGCAAGGCTGTCGCAGGAAGAGAACCAGACTGCCAGCACCAGCAACGCATCAAGCGCGCAACCATCAGGGCATATCTCCAACCAAGCACCTGGCCCTTCCACAAGCCATCACATGTTCGGTCGTCAAGACACCGAATTTGCAACGGTTCCACTCACATCCTCAACATATACCTCCACACAGACTCCATTCTCAAGACCACCCCAAAGATGATTGTGATCAACTGTACAGTATCAGATGCCTTTTTCTTCAAAGCGTGCATCATGATGTAAGCTATTCGTTTCATTTGTTGACAATGTTATGATATAGCCAAATTCAAAGTTACCCCCTCATTTTTTGTTCCCCTTCATCTTCCCGGGATGTAAAGATGTCATATGTAAATGGACTCCTATCGTTCTACAGAAAATGGAGATAACATATTGCCAGAGTATATGATTCTGCAATTGAAACGTTTTTGTACCCCTGTTCTGATATATACAAGCTAGAATCTGTTTGCACTTGTATGTGTGAGTAATCGAGTAAATACAAGGGAGTGTTGCAACCTGTGTTTTCTACGTGGTTTGATTAATCAAACGATCATTTTACAATTCGTTTTGCAATTGCATTCATATTAGAATCATGCGTTTTTTTTCTATTCTTTTGTTTTTTTTTATTTCTTCGATTCAAAGGGGCCAAAACATGGGCAATGTTGGATTGGAATCAGGTTGCATCATCACTCATGATGGAGTGAGGGAGCACTCTCCATTGGTTGGCCCTTCCTTGGGGATAGGATAGACATTGCTATGCTTCACTTGATTGCATCTTTTGGTGTAAGGATTAAAGGATGCGTTCTTTTTGCTGTGAGATTTTTGTTATAATCAAGTTAAGATTTTGGTTAGAGCGATGACTTTTGTAAACTTTACAAAATCTTTTGTAAAGTTTTTAGAACAATGGTAATCTTAACTTGATTACCTATATTTATGCCACTATATTTTTCATGAAAAAATAATCAGCATGTATTTCATTGTAAGTTTCTAAAGTGCATATGTAATTTTAATGTAAGTCTTAAAATTACATATGTAAATAGATATAAATAGAAGAGACGCTAGTGCAAATCCAATTGGAAACTTGTATAACAAGAGCAGCACGGTCGTCGTAGTACAGAGAGAATAACTACATACTTAACAAATCAAACGTCCGTTAAATTAAGTATCGATAGTGCAACACGAATCTACATGATATCCAAGGGTCAGATTATCTGACTGTGATCAAGCTAATTTTGTGTCGCCATAAATATAGCATGTTCGAACCACAAATATAAATTTTTAGAGCAATGGTAATTTTAAAAGTGTCATAAATAATCTGCACATAATATATGGCATTATAATCAAAATTGTAATAATTAATCAAAATAAAAAACAAAACATGAACAAAAGATGCCATGTTCCTTAAAGGATGGCATTATAATCAAAACTCCCTATTTCTCATCCATGTTATTCGTGGTTCATTTGTTTGTCTAAAATTATAATTAATTGTCTACTAAATAAAATTAGGTGCTGATATTTTTCTAAAAAATAAAGTGTTCACATTTTTGTTCTTCGAGGAGCCACAATCTTCATCATTTCTTCTTATGGCATAACAATGCTTAGTTGTTTGTGTTCCTTTTGGTAGAACTGAAGTACCTGGTTTTAAATCAGATTTGGTAGGTGTGTTCGGGTTTACGGCTTATTATTTTTCTAGTTGTAGGTAACATATACGTTATACGTTGACAGTATTCTTTGTGATAGAACTTAACTACCCGGGTTTAAGTCCTAAAATTGGTATGTGTGTTCGTATTTACAACTGATTATTTTTTAAGTGGTAAACAAAATATATGTTGATAGTGATATGCATGTGATTATTTAATTAATCTCAAAATATACGGTCTCAATTTTTCGGAGGTGCTTGTGTATGTTTTATAAGGATAAGTGTGGGCAAGTGTACATGAGTTGTATTGTTAATGTTTTAACGATTTTGTTGAAAATGTAGGGTAGAATTACTATGCTCATTCAAACAAAAATTCTACTTGATATGTGGGGTGAGTGTGGTATTGCATATGTAGTAGTGTATGTGCGTGTGTATCAGCCGTGTAATCGAAAAAAAAATCTAACATAAGTGTAGGTGTCACGACCCAAATATATTTTTTTTCCGTGACAGTCTGTCGTATCCTTATACGCATATATACTAATATTTATATATGTCCATAAGGATACAAGGCAAGATGCAATGTCTAACCATCACAACTGGAGCTTGGACACCTACAACAGTGGTTCCATTTATTATTATTACTTTTTTTCATCAGCTACACTGCATATTACATCGGTTGGTTCACTGACCAACTTATTGTCACTAGGGCGAAACCCTATACTTAGCATGCAAGTATGTCCTCTGGATGTCTCTAAAGACTAAGTAGTCCCCACTCCCCACTAGGTCTGCATGTCATCATTTCCCTCTGACATCTCATCTTGACTAGTTTCTGGTTTCCTGCCGTTCTACCAGTACGTCTCACCTGGAAGGCTTCTACTAGCTCTAAACTCTCAAGTCTCTCACAGACCTCTCGCCACAGCCAGAGCAGGGGAAAGTACTACTGATGAACAAGAGTTGTAGGGTCACGTACGACTTAAATAGTGCAGCTTCCTTCAGTGTAAAGCAGACATATGTCCAAAGCCATGATGATGGGGATAGGATTCACCCTCTTCCTTACACTAGAAGGGTTCGATCCTATCCATCAACCTCGGTGATATTTATCTGTCCTCCTCACAAAACAATTCAAAAATGTATGAACAGTTCCCTGCTGCTACTACTATTATTACTACCACCACCACCACCACCACCACAACCACTATTACTACTACTACTACTATTATTATTATTATTATTATTATTATTATTATTATTATTATTATTATTCACTACTACTACAGTACGGCATGTGGGCTCCTTCCAAATTTTTCCTTTTCTCTATACGGGGAGGACATAAGACTGGAGCCAGCTACAACACAGCCCTGTTCTTTCCCTGACAGGCTCACAGCACGCCCAGCTGCTCGTCTCGGAATTAGGATCAGCTACAGTTAGTCCATTCCCAACTCAATGACTAGGATGGTGTCTATAGCATTAAATAAGTTGTCATCTAGGATGAAAAATGATGTGACAAGTGAATAAACGAGGAAAGAGAAGAAAACCATGTCTTGCATGAGACATGGTTTTGTACACAACATCTAAGACATTATGTGAGATAAGTAGCATTAAATTGAAGTATGGAATAGTGATGTTTGCATTGGAAGAGTAATGTCTAATACTAGTTTCCTGGTGATGTGGAATTTATCGAAACTATGTCTAGTGTCATGGGTTGGGAATGGCCTTATACTTGCAACTGCAAGATAACAACCGCACGTAATTTTGGCTGTCCGATTTTATGATCAACGGTTCAGATCAAACGCTACAGTAATAACAGCAACAGTACTATATGCTACCGTGTCTCAGTATTTTTTTTTCTCTTAGGTGCTTATTTCAAATGCACCTTTACATGGCGGGTGAAGGACTGAAGGGAAGATTTGCTCTATTTTATTGTTTACACAATATAATTATTTTTTATATCACGTTGATATGGTCGTTTGTCACTACTAAGCAGGTGGAGGGCTCGGTAGGGTGAGATCTGGCGCTCGCCATACCTTGCGCCGCCCGCTAACACCACCACCCCTCCTCTCCCCAACCTTCCGGCCTCCCCAACCTTCAGGAGGACCACGACTCGACGTGCGATGGGCGAAGCAGCGCTCACTGTTGGGTTGCTCGCCACTGCAGTGAATCAAATGCCTAGCTCGAAAATTCCCCATCCGTCTATCTCTTCGATTTTGATGATTCCCCATCTCCTTCGAGTTCGATTCGTGTGATGATCGACGACGATGCAGGTGCGCGGGAGTGAGCCATCGGCCGACGCACCTGGGTTGGGGGTGGGGGTTGCGCATCCGCGCCAGAGCAGGGCACGCGCAGTGCTGGCGCTGCAAGCAACGGGCCAGCAAGCGAGAGCGGTCACGCAGCGCCGGCTGATCGGCAGGCGGCAAAGGTGCTATGGTAGCCGGCAACAAGGTAGGGCACTAGGCTATCAACTATCAAGCAAGAGTAGAGCAGGGCAAGCCGGCAACTGTAGCCAGTAGGCCGATTCATTGATGAGCCATCCTCCGTCACACCTCTTCTTTTTTCTGTCCTCCGCCACTAACCACTACTTCGTATTATAGTGGTGACTGGTGACTGATGATCATTCTCGGGCCTGTCACGCAGTCTAGGAGCTGGCAGCTGTGTTTTAGAGCATGTCTAATGTTTAACTCTTGGGAGAAGTTCTATAGATAGAATTGCAATTGATGAAGAAATTTACAATGAATGTGCTATGAGTGTGGATCCACTGTTATTAAAAGGTAGTAAATGTGAGAATTGATCTCTTCCTAGTGAAATGTGACAGGCGGACCCAAAATACTCTCTCCTTTAAAATCTAGTACTACTACTATGGTTATGGTTAGTACTTGGCACGACCTCAAACCCATGAAAAAAGTACAGGTTTGTTCTATCTTCTTCTGTTTTGTAGAGCCCCTCGAAAACCATCACCACACGTGCTCTTAAACTAGTATATACCTCCTCTTTTTTTTCCCTTCCAATAATACTCTCAAGTTCCACAAGCTCCTCCACGCTGATAACCTCTTGCTCCCTGGCTCCCCATCGCCTGCCCTGCTCGCCCGCCGCGGCTTCCTGCTGGGGACGGCTGGCGCTTGCGGCCGGGTCAGCCGCCGCCGCAGACCCCATTGCCAGCCGGCGGCGAGATAGAGGGGAGAGCAAGGGGGAGGGGCGGCGGCGAAGGAGATGGGAGGATAGAGATTGGGGGTGGGAGATGGGAGGATAGAGATTGGAGGTGGGAGATGGGAGAGGGGAGGGGATATATATGATGTTTTTTTCGAAAAAACCTTCGTGTTTTTTATGTTTACATTGCTACCCCTAAGAGTAGAACTCTATCTTCTTTGTATTGTATTTCTATAAAATACGAGGGTTGTTTCGTATAAAGCAGAACATGGTGTTATTCGGTGGGAGGACGTGCGCGCTAATCCGTTCAAACACGAGGAGTTTTTTTTTCATAAATACCAGCACCAGCACGCGTCATTTAGTCCGAGGAGGCAAAAACATGCGCACACGCAGCGGGAGACCGGCGGAACCGGCTGATGAGGAGCTGAAAAAAAATCTACTTATACTACTTAAAAAATAAGAGGTGCTTCCATCGTCCGTCAAAAAAACCGGGTGAAAAAAAACCGGAACGAATCCGATTCATCAACGCGGTAAAAGAATATGTCCGATTCCACAAAAATAGGAAACAAACTCCCATCTGTTTTCGTTTGAGCTGATTAGGACTTTGTTTCTGTTTGGGCGAATAGGACTTGGTTTGAATTATACCAAGTCCTATTCGGTTAGCATCACCAGGAGAACAAGTGCATATATACATACATAGTATAAAAAATCATAGCACATAACAAAGAATCACATGCAGCCTTATAGCACTTTGAAAAAAACAAAAAATTAGATCGAAGGGGGTCGCCGCCAGCACACATATATCCAAATAAAAACAAAAAATTAGATCGAAGGGGGTCGCCGCCGCTGCCGCCGTCGCCGTCGCCGTCGTTGCCGAACCGCCGCCGTCGCCGTCGCTGTGGATCCGGTGGAGGGGAGAGCACCGCCGCCGCCGCCTCCCCTCCCGCTAGATCCGCCGGCGGCGGCGGCAGAGGGCACTCTCCGGTGGTGGGGGAGAGCGCCGCCGCCACCGTCGGTGGTGGGGGAGGACTCCACCGCCGCCGCCGCTCGCGGGAGGAGGGGCGCCGTCGCCGCCGCTCGCGGGGCGCCTCCCCACCCGCTAGATCTGCCGCCGGTGGTGGGGGAGGGTGCTGCCGCCGCCGCTCGCGGGAGCAGGGGCGCCGTCGCCGTCGCCGCCGCTCGCGGGGCGCCTCCCCTCCCGCTAGATCCGCCGCCGGTGGTGGGGGAGGATGCCGCCGACGCCGCCGTGGGTGGTGGGGGTGCCGCCGCCGCCGCCATCGGTGGTGGGGGAGGGGCGCCGTCGTCGCCGCCGCCGCTCGGGGGCGCGGAGGAGAGGGCGGCGAAGTGAGATGGGAGGGAGGGAAATGGGCTAGGGTTCCGCGGCTGAGAGGGAGTGGGTTTTGTTTCCCCACTATTGACGCTCGGCCGTCCGATCAAAACCCTAGAGATCGGACGGCCGGTGTTGTCCGGGCCGAAATCGGCCCAAGAGGGATCGAGAGTGAGGCCTCTTTTCCGGCCCAAGCCCAGGTTGCGGCCTGGGGGAGGAAAAGTGCGCCCGCGCATGCGCAAAAGGCCGTGGGCCGACCGGCATAGGTCGGAAATAAGTCTATTGTTGGTCCCTCGAGCCGAAAAAAAGAGAATAAGTACATTTTTAGTGCTCATTTTTTCAGAAGCATTACAATTATAGTTCTATTGAATATGTTTATTTCGAAGCAAACCTATAAGAAAGTATTTTCTTTCTTTTTCCAATTAAATAATTGTTAAATGATGTTTGTATTAATAAAATTAGCAATTAAGCTCTGAAAATTCCAATAAAATTCCAAAGAGCGTAACTAATTATGGAGAATTTAATAAAATTAAATTTAACCATGTCATTTTATTTAACCATGGAGAATGGAGAATTTTACTTGTAAATTTATTTAATTATACACATACCTACTTAAAAATACCAAATATTTCAGCGAATTTGTATTTTAATTAATTGCATATTTTTCTCATCTGTAAACTTCCCGGTGCAACGCACGGACACTTTTGCTAAACCAAACAACACTTTTGGTCAATATACACACTCTGTAATCACCCGGTGCAACGCACGGGCACTTTTGCTAGTCATAAAAAAGAGAAAAACCACGCCTCCACCGCTCAGCCGCTGGCCCCACCAACCCAGGCCACGACGCATCGCACGCAGATTGACATGTAACGAAAATACGAGGAGCCAGGAGACAACTGCTAACACGTATCACAAATACCGAGGAGCCAAAAAAAATTCAAAAAAACCAGAAAATCGGTAGCTTTAGGGCTTTTATTAATCGATAATTATGTTGCCTCGTGTGCCTCTCAAAATAAAACTTATTGGGCCCAGATCAAACGTCCAATCGTCAGCCACTATCGATAGCAAAATGCTTCATGAATGTTTCTCGTTCTTCCTCTCAAAAATAAAAAAAAATGTTTCTTGTTCTGACCTATATATATATATCATTCCGGTTGAACTTTCAATGCTTTTAATACCAATACCATTTAAATAGAAACTTTTTTTCTTAACCTCTCAAAATAGTTTGGAAAGTCTACTTAACTCCCCTAAAATATAAAATACAAATTTTTAATATATAAAACCTATGATAGTTTGGATTTATTTTGGAGTGAAGCGTTAGTAGTCAAACTACTGGGCGGTCGGTTCCAATTAAATCTCATTAATAAATATCATGTCTTGATGTGGTTATTTTGCTAGGATCTTTTATAGTGTCTTACGTGTTTGGTTACTGATCTCAATTTCAATACCGGTTATCTAACATATAATGTCTTGTGCTACGTAACTTGAATTTAGAGTAAGAGTGATCATCTAAATGTAATGGACCAATTCAAAGGATGATCCACTATTCAATCTTTATGATGTTAGACAGCACATACACAGAGCAGGAGTTAGAACAAAATAGAGAGGGGTGCCACATGCTACTCTGTTTTAGATCAAATTTAAGCTAATATAGGTGCTTAAGTTTGCACTGAGAGGGTGCACATATGATAAAAATAGATAAAATATAGCTAATTTTTTTTACCGGGTTCCTGAACACCCTCCTTTGAACATGTAGCTCCGCTCCTGCACATACACTATATTAATTTTAGGAGATAGTATATGGCCCATAGTGCCACCTAGCTGGCTCCCCCTGTGATGCCGCTGTGTGAATTCCATAATAAAACATGAGTGTGTCATTTTAAAATGTAAGAAATCCAATAGACGGATATTAAAGATAATAAATCTATAATAAAATTTTTAAATTCCTGTACATAGCTGCATATGCGTATATATGCATAAATATGTATAAACAGGTATATATAGTCGTGACACTGCAACTCTAGCCGTACTGAAACGCGTGTTACATTTTAATTTAAGTGATGCCATATGTCATGTGATGCTTATATATATATATATAATAAAATAACTAGCAAAATACCCGTGCGTTGCACCGGATAATATTGCGGTGATTGAAGTTCAACTGTACTATTTCTCAAGTAGTCTACTATGTCAATAATAATCGAAGGCTGTGTTTAGATCTAGGCGTGTCACGTCGGATATACAGACACATATTTGAAGTATAAAACGTAGTCTAATAATAAAACAAATTACAGAACCCACCTTTAAACCGTGAGACGAATTTATTTAACCTAATTAACTTGTCATTAGCACATGTTTACTGTAGCACCACATTGTCAAATCATGATGCAATTAGGTTTAAAAGATTCATCTCGTAATTTACACGCAATCTGTGTAATTAGTTTTTTAATCTATTGTGGGGACACCCAATTTAGGCTTGGTGCCCCAAAAATCCACTCGCGATCGTCCAGGATTTCGATCACGCACAGATTGATATACAGAACAACTTATACAGGTTTATTCATACAAGCTGATTATACTACTGTTAAAAGGTGAAAAGATCCAAACTAAAATATCCTTATTTGAAATACAAGAAAATCCAAAGTACTAAACTCCTAAACTTCTTCAACTACTAGAACTACAATTAATAAATTCCAAAGAATTTCAAAGAACTCCACAGGCAAAAGCTCGAGTGTAGACTAGCCTAGAAAAACTCGTCGTTGTCGTAGATCTCGCTTCCTTCTGATCTCCTTGTTAGCACGTTTCCTCTATATGTCAAATTATGCAAGGGAGAGTACTTTTGTATTTAGCAAGACATATTATAAATAATTAAAGGTGAATAGATATGAATAAATAAACAATAATAAAGTAAAGGAATAATAAAAACCATAAATCATCTTTATCCTCAACATTTTAATTTTAAAACTACTTATACTTCAGGAGTAGGAATCACCCTATTGACACAACTCCAGAATCAGGAGTACGGCACATTCGAATGATTTAATTCACCTCTGCAGAGACTGTCCAGCTTTACCCACACGATGCCCACAACTAGCTAGGCTGAGAACAACAGAGCCGTTCGAAGGTCCCACTTACTACTAGTTACTGCACAGTGGGGTCTTGGTTCATCATAGTGGTCAAACTCTTGCTAGGCCTAGGCAAGGTATCTATATCGTCACACTTTCATGAATCCCACTGTTGTGAAACACTGCCGCCCAAACTTCTTACGCAAGTTCACCCCAATACCGCTCATAGAGCCACCCAACAGTCTTTCATATAGTGGGACAATGTACTAGGCTAAGTTCAATTACTTGATTGTGTGGATGGACGCAACTATGTCATTTCCATGGTATAAGGGGGTAATTATAATCTGGTTAAACCACCCAAAACTTTCCAAACTCCCCACACCAAAATCACAAACTTCATCATTCATCAACATTCATAATTTTCAACATTCATAATCTCAATTCATAAATGCCCATTTTAACCGGATTCCTAAGTTTGTAAAGTTGTTTGGAATAGTAAATCACATAAAATCATAACCAATGCTTCTTTTTATAACCTCATGCAATAATACTTGGATGCATTTAACATCTACCCATGAGACGTTAAAAGGGTAAGGTATCATGCATAAAATGAAGATTATATTAAGTTTTCTATATGATCAAAATTTTAGCTATGTCTTGCCTTGCGCCTTAAGATTTCCCGCGGCTTTAGCATAGCCATCTGGGTCCACATCAGCTCCTTGGATGCTGATAAAACTTGTTGTACGGTCTAACGTACGAATACGAAAAAATAGCAAATAAAGCCTATAAGCAAATTGCTACAAAGAAACGATAAAAACCAAGGAATAAATAAAATTGGAGCAAGGCGAAGGAAAAAGGAATGGTTCAAAATAAATTTTAGTTTGGAAAACAAAAGAGAGGTTTTGGTTTCTAAAGGTTGGAATTGAGGAAAAGGATAAAATGGATAGGTGGGGTTGATTTGGTGGATTTGGTTTTCTAGTCGGTGCTAGAATGGAGTAGCACGACGGTTAGATATTTGGAGTGGTTAGCCGATGCTAAGGTTGGTAGCATAACAGCTAAATATCGGCTCGTCTAGTTGATGCTACAGTTAAGTAGCACAACGGCTAGTGAGTTGGGAGATTTGTGTGGAGCGGAAGAGTGTTACTCTGCAGTTGTGAGTGACAACAGAGTGGCTAGGGTCGCACATAGCTCAAGGACTAGTGTGCGGCATGCTTGTGGAGGTCGAGGGAGTAGTGAGGCTCCGACCACTGTACGCGTTGAGGCGTGGGGTGCGAAGAGCGACACTTCGACCTTAGGATTAGGTTATGCCGGGTTTTACGACCAACGGTTTGACGTCGGGGTTTGAGACCACGCGAACGTCTCCATAGAAGGTGTAAAGTTTCCACGGCGGCTTTTTGGTGGCTAAGGATTGTAAAAGAATGGTTTAAAGAAATTTGAATTCAAATAGAGTTTTTTTAAAAATAGATTAAAGAAATAAAATTTAAAATGGTATTTTAAAAGAAATAAAGAAAAGGTAATTAAATAAATAAAGAAAGGATATTTAAAGATATTTAAAGATAATTTAATTTAAAAATGGTTTTAAATAAAATAAGAAATTTTAAAATTAAAGGGATTTAAGATAAATCAAATAGGTTTAAATTAAAAGGGTATTTAAACAAAATTTTAAATAGGAAATTTGGTATCAAAAGGGAGGGATTGAAATTACATGAATTTAGATCAAAGGTTCACTGGAATTGGATTTGTGGTTGGAGAGATATGGGTGCCTAAAGTTTGGAATTTGAAATAACTCAAATAAAAGAAAAGGGATTACTGTACAGTGGGGCTCGCTTGTCATATCTCTTCTACTTCTTCTTCTTCTCTGCTTCTTTGATCCGAGAGAAGGGAGAGAAGAGGGCGAGCGGGGCGCCGGCTCTCCGGTGGTCGGGAGGTGGGAACGCCGGTAGGAGATGGTGTTCCCGAGCAACGCGCACCCGGAGAGGGTGGTGGAAGGCGGAGGGAGAGAGAGGGATGGCCGGAACGGCGGCAACAAGAGCTCAGTTCCGGCGATAAGAGAAGGTGGTGGTGGCGGCTTATCCCAAGGTGGAGGGAGAGGGGAAGGGGAAAAATGGAATCACCTGGGCGAGGCGGAGTTGGTGGCGCAAGGGTTTGGCTTGCGAAGCTTCGGTGAGGGAGATCGGCCGACGGTAGTGATGGCCGGACATGGGAGTAGAGAGAGAAAAAGGGAAAGCTCCGTTGTGGAGAGGAAGAGGGGCGACCTCGTTGTCTATTTATAGGTCGCGGAGGTCGGTTTGGAGAGAAGGAGAGCGACTAAGGCACGGCGACGGCAGCGAAGAGAAGAGGAGCACGGCGCCGATTTCTTAGCAACGACGGAAAAGAGTTTGCGGCGGCGTGCGCCGTGCGCAACACGCGCACTGGGAGGAGGAGGAGAGAGGCGGCTGGGCTGTGGGCCGGCTCGGCTGGGCTTCGGCTCAGTTGGGTCGGCAGCCCAAGAAGGAGGGAGGAAAAGAAAAGGGGAATGGGCCAAAAGAAAGGGAAATTGGCCCAAAATAAATAGGAATTTTTGATAATTTTGTATAGAGGATTTGGAATGGAATTTAAAGGAGATGGAAACTAAAGGATAGGTGGATGTGGATTTTTTTTAATCTTAGTCAAAGAATTGAATCTAAGGAATTTTGAATGGAGGGTTAAATAAATTTTAAAGGAGATAAAATTTAAAAGAGAAACGCTTGAGGGTCTTTTGAACTTTATAAGAGGAATATAAAGTTTTTTTAAAATCAAAAAGGAGTTTAAAATATTTTTAAAATAAAATCAAATATATTTATTTTGAGATATAAATTTTGAAAAGGATAAAAATAAAGATGCTCCAATTTAAATAGAATTCAAATAAGGACCAAATGTAAAACTTGTCACGAAAGATTTAAAAATCAAACGGAAAGGAAAGGCAATAATTTAACTTCTAACTTTGGATAAATTTGGGATGGTGGCAAAAATAGATGGAGGTTAAAACTAAGATTTTAGCCTCCAAAATATGTGGTATGGATTCTCAGTGAATTATTTGTGGCTAAAGGAAGTTGGACTTTGAATAGAAGGGATTGCAAATAAGTATCTTAGCACAAGAGCAATCATTCAAATATTTGTGATAATATTATTCTTGTGCCAAGAATGTGATCAAGTCATAGGAATCAAATTGGTGGATGGATCAAAATAGGAACTTGACCACATAATATTTTGGATGGATTAAAGGGAGACAAAGGTTTTCGGAGATAGGTTTAGATAGGGGTTGGTCCAAAATAAATTCCAATGGAAAGAGAATTATACTGGTTTAACCCTAAAGATAAAAATGGTTAATGGGATATAATAGAGAGTCTGGTCAATCGGGGAAATATTGGCCCAAGCTAAATGGTAGAATTTGTAATCTTGAATGGATAATTTAAATAAACGAGATTTCAAAGGGGTAATATTTGTGGGAGTATAGAACTAGATTTGGAAGTATATGTGGATGGGAATTTTTCTAGGAACGGAATTGGTGGTATATTGATAAACTCTAAAGGATGGGTATGTTGACTCAAAGGGGGATTGAAGAGGATATTTTTAGGGACTCCGGGAATATTTAGGTGGAGATCCAAAGGAAATGTATCAACATTTCATGTATTCTGGAGATAGTTGCGTGGAGATAAAAAAGAAAGTATTGCTTCATGGGAAAATAAGAATTGGTATTTGTGGATGTTGGAGATGTTCAGGAATGGAATCAAAGGAAATATAATCTAGAGCCAAAGTTAGAGATTAAAGAAAATAAATAGAGAGGTTTTGTAAAATTTAAAAGAGAGTGATTAACTTTGCAAATAAAGTTTTAAATCCAAGTTAAAAGAAATTAACAGAAGGTAAGATCACTTCAATAGAAGAATCTAGAAGAGTGCAACTAAAATATCTCGCAAAAAATTTTTCCCTGAAAATTTGAGTCCGTTACATCTATATTTAATACTATATGTATGTGTCAAAACATTCGATGTGACAGGGTGTAAAATTTTAGCAGGAATCTAAACATGGCCAAAGTGTATTTTGTTTGGACAATTTTTTCATGTTTACGTACTACATGATATGAACGATGTACATGATGCGTTAGTGTGATATGTATATGATGCTTTAGTGTGATGATTGTACCATGGGTGAAACAAACGGTGAATAGCTTGGTAACTTTCATGCAACAATCGATGGACGAAAAATTTGTGTGATTAAAAAAAATTAAAATATGTAATTTCATTGTAATATGTCCTGTTTCGTGAGAAATTTTATTTTTTACAATAAATATATTTTTATCTCAAATACAAAAAATATTAATAAAAGAAATCATTTTTCAGCAGAATTCGATCCATGGATTAGCAATGGGAGTTGATTCTGAGTTCTTTCCCTAACTTTCTCAACTCACCACCCTCGTACTCCGCGCGCACGTCTTTCAAACTACTAAATTGTGCGTTTTCTGCAAAAGAAAATTCTATACAAAAGCTGCTTAAAAAAATCATATTGATCTATTTTTTTTTAAAAAAATAGTTAATACTTAATTAATCACGTTAATAATCTGTTCTGTTTTCCGTGCGTGAAAATAGCCCACAGCAAGTGAACACAGCCCAGTCCAGCCTGGTCGTAGATTTTTCTAAAAAGAAAAAAGAAAAATTGACGCGAGAAAAATTGAGTGGTCGCCTGGAATATCCTGTCACTCTCGTTCTCTCTCTCCCAGTCTCTCACTCTCGTTCTTTCTCCCAGTCTTTCTCCTTCTCTCTCCACCCGCTTCTCTAGTTTCGCCGACCAGATCAACCATGGAGCCATTATCGAGTGGCCGGGGGCGGTGGATCGGGTACGTCGCCATGTCCACCGACGAGATGACGTGGCGGCTCGGGCGTTGCGAGGTGGTCGTCTTGCTGTAGTCGGTGCGCCTCAACCCGTGCGATCTGCACCCTAACGTCAAGGTGGATTCTTGGTTCCTCAGCCTGTACACCTCCGCCGTCGGCGCCTCTCGCGCGGATCCGTCGTCGGCTGCGACGGGAGGGGTGGATCTGGCGACCTCTTCCCCTCCTGCATGGATCCCGTCATCTCTCCGCTCCCCTCTTGTGCGGATCCGCCATCCGCGGCGACGTGAGGGTGAATCCAGCGACCTCTGTCGTCTCTCCACCCTCCGCTCGTGCTGATCCGCCGCCGGTGATGATGGGAGGGACACAGGTGGGGTGGCAGACTGGCAGATGGGGCGACGACCTCGATGATGGCGACACATGTGGGCTAGGCGCCATCGCAATCTTTTCGCCTGGGTACTTTATTTTCTTTGACAATATACCATGTTGTTCATGTGAAATCTTTGGATCATCTTGCATAGGAGTAATCTTGTTGCTTACTGGCAGGTTAGATAACATGTCTGTTTTGCTAGCTGTTCGGCCGGCCGGAGAGGAGGGTTTCAAGCTGTGGACGAAGGTGCACCGAGGAGAGCGCAGCCAAGTGGTGGTACCGAGTGGTGGTACTGAAGATTTCAGGTGTGTTCTTGGTTGATTAACATTTTCCGAGTTATTTGGTTACACGTTTAGACATAATTTTGTGTGTGTATGTGCATGTAGGGGCCCGGGAATATGGATGTGTGTTCTTTGCTTGTTGGGGTTTCTGACCTAGGTGTAAACTTATTAGTTAATCACTACGACGATCTTGGTCGAGTGGCTGACTCATCGCTGGATGATGGTTTTCTTGCAGGCGGAGGCGGCAAGGTGGGGCTGGTGGCGTTGGACGTCGCGCTCACGTTCCCGCAGGCCACGATGGCGTCCTAGTTCCTGTCTGCCGGTGAGACCTCCTATCTCGCTTTCCTGGTGTTCTCGTGTTCTCGGTTTCCCATCTATTTATTATATACTAAAAGTCCATTAAACTTTCTACAAACGCTCTCAAGCCGTCATGTGAGGCCCCTACAAACGCTTCTAACTTGCCACGTGGCGCTTTAATAAATCTTAAAAATTCTAAGGAAAAAAAACAAAACATCTGGCCGTCAATTTTCATTTAATTTGGTGGACCTATTATTTTCTATTTCAAAATATTACCAAATCAATTTATCTCTCATAGAACCCACCCACACATCGCTCCGTGCCACCTCTCTCCACGTACATGTACGTACGTGACGTACGTATCCCCCACCCCTACTTTTTTTTCTTTTTTTTCTTTCTCACTTATATTGATGAAAAATCAACTAATAATTTAAGTCCTACTAAAAAATCTATTAAAGTTCCTATAAACACTTCTAAATCGCCACGTGACATTTCTACAAACGCTCCTTGATCACCACGTGACGCTTTATTAAATCCTAAAAATTCTAAGAAAAACAAAACAAATAGCCATCGGTTTTTATTTAATCTGGTAGACACATTATTTTTCAACTATTAAATATTTCTAAAATAATTACCAAATCAATTTATTATCTCTTGAAAACCCCCACATCGCTCGGTCTTGAAAACCCCCACATATGTACGTGTACGTACGTATCCCCACCCTACTACTTTTTCCATTCTTTTTCTTTCTCACTTAGATTAGATGAAAACCAAACTAATTTGTGTCCATATTAACTATTTGCTTTAAGTTTAAAAGTACTGATATGTTAAAATGACATTACCAAATTTATCATGAATGTATTTTCATATATTATGTGTTTCTTTATTCATATATTATTAGAAAATTAATGATCAGATATATTCTTTTCACACCATGTCAATATATTTATCTCCTACTTTGGCTTCATTCAATCTAGCTCATTGGATAAGCTTATCTAGAGCACGCTAAACAGCGCACGTCATCAGTGTAAGATCAATTCAGTATTAGATATTACAATTAGAAAATGGATTTATTTGATTTTTTTATAGCATATTAGAGTGATGAGAATAAACACTAGTTATGAACTTATAGCTTGAACAAACAAAATGTATATGAATCAAAAGGTGACAAACAAGGTATCTTAACAAGATATAAGGTCACCAACAATATTAATTTAGCATGCAAGTAGGTCGGGTAAAAACAAGCTCAAGCACAATATGAGAGATGGCAAGAACGAGCAAACCAAGAGAGGAGACACGTTGATTTGTTTCCCGAAGTTCGGATCCACGGATCCTACGTCTCCGTTGAGGGGCCACAAGGCTTGGTCTATTTCAACCCTTTCCTCATGAGGTTACACAAATGCACTCCTCGGTTTACTCTTGATTTCTTCCCTTGCGGAGGCGAAATCGAAGCCTTCACAAACTTTCCGTGGCACACCACAACCTTAGGTGCTCACCGGCGACGTCAAGCCGTCTAGGAGACCTTAGTCCCCAAGAGTAACAAACACAATCGAAGATTTACTTGCTATGAACTCGAGTGCTCAAAGTATGGAGTGAAACTCACTAGCTCTCAACTTCTCAATCACTCAATCTAACTCTTTCCCCTTCTCAAATCCCTTTCACAAAGAGGCATCACAAAGGATGGAGTGAAGCTCACTAGCTCTCAACTCCTCACTCTGTCAATCCAACTCTCTTCCCTTCTCAAATCCCCCTCGCAAAGAGTCACCACAAAGGATGGGAAATGGGGATGGCTATTTGGCTTTAGATGTGTCTAGTATTGCCTAAGAACAGCAGCCACTCAAAGGAGGGGTGGAGGAGTTTATATACTCGAGCCCCTCAAAAACTAGTCGTTGGAGGCCAAGACTGTAATTTTAGGAAGTTCCGAAAAGCATTTTCGGATATGTCCGAAAATTTACAGAAGCCAATCTCAGATTCGCAGCCATTTTCAGAATTTCCGAAGTTTTTGGAGTTTTCCGGAAAATTTTCGGAGTTTCCGATAATTTTTCGGAATTTCCGAAAAGCGAAGAGTAAAATGATTATAACTTTTCGTTCAGGAGTCCGTTTTTGATGAACTTGGACTCTATGGAAAGCTCACTCAGAGAACTACCCAACTCAACCAAAAATAAGGTCTAAAACCACTCAAAGGATAGGTTAAAGCTTGGGTTTCTCTCAAGGTAGCACTATGATAGGTCACTTTGAGCACTGAGACATACACAAACGCATCGATGTTGCATCCCTCCTAATAGTACAGCATTCCTACACTCAAATATAAATAGGAAGAAAATTATACCAATAGGAATGCCTTCTTTCCATTTCCTTTCTTTTTTTTAAGGGACGCCAACACCAAAACCGTTTCACCGTATATTCTTCAAATGATTGATGCGGTTACTTGTAGCTTCAAATGGTCTCGCACGGTCCATCGTGACAAAGCCGTCACTCGCCCTTCACCACCGGATTTGGTTCTTCAGCACCAAACCCCTTGCTTGCCCTTCACCACCACATGGTCCATCGCGACAGAGCATCGCTTGCCCTTCACCGTCTTGCCATAGTAGCCACTTCGTATCCCACATCTTCAATATCTTCACTTTGCCATTCTTGGTATCGTTAGGGGTAATGATATCACTTTAGCATCAACATCAACACCTTTGTAATCCTTGGGATCTATTTATTTCATTCAACTCAATAAAATTATTAGTCACAATGATCCGGTTGTCAACATCCACATGTTGGCCAACCGATCACATGTATAAAAGGATATAAATAAATGATGAGTATTAATCAACACCACAAGTGTCATATACTCAAATATATGCTCAAATGTAAAGATCCCAATTAAAAGAAAGTGAATAACTTGGATCGATTACATGCATGACTAAAGTATAGGATTTGCTCCCTCTCAATGTATGCATACAAAATGTTTGTGTAACGCAAGAGTATGCATAAAAGAATGAAACATTAGGAGCTTATCCTATACAAGAATAGAAGGAATTTATCAAATATAGGCATTAAAATAAAAACATACATTCATCATCTCCATGTTATCAATGTAAAGAGACTAAACAAGATATGGCTCAAACAAAAACATTAGTCTCACATGTATATTGTTATTCACATGGAAATATGATATATGAACACATCAATATGTACATGGAGAGAAAGAGTGATACATATATAGCTTGATCTCTATGCATTTCATCCTTATAATTTAGGTACACCATCAACGAACGTTTCTCTTTCCACTCATATGAAGTCCAGAAATCACCTCTCACATATTCCACTTTCATATCCATATGAGACTAGTAGACAAAGAAATGCTTATAACAATGTTAGTCTCATGTAATTGGATTTGTCATTAATCATCAAAACCAAATTAATGGCACTTGAACTTTCAAAACCAACTAACCAAACATGCAAATCTCGTATAGATTGAAGCGCTATGATACAAAGCTGATAAGTCAATCCAAACGGCTGCATGGTGCGGGCCTACGTTTTGGCAGCATGCACCAGCTCGCCCTCTAGTGGCATTTAATCACATGCATGTAAATGAGAGGGCATTAGGGCAATTTTTTGTAATAGAGGTGGGTGCTACATCTAATTTTAACCACATCATCAACTAATAAATGAATGTAGAGGTAACATATACAATATGTTACATCTAAACTAATTCTAATACACTAGCATCAATGTTTATTTGCCCAATTTACTCTTCATCTTTCTTCTTTTGTATTGAATTTTGTGTAGGTGTTGCCTTTTGCATGATGTGTGGCTTCTTATCTCTCTCATCTCTCCTCTTCTCCACCTCACTATTTAAGCTTAAGTGGTATCTATGAGATTGTGCTTGGATGCTTATAGTATTTGCCTTACTGGATATAAGCTGTAAAAATTGAAAACACGCCTTATGTTTTGAGACAACAACGGAAAAAAAAAATACACGCCCTCTAATCTGGGAAGGAGGGAGCATCAATCAGTCAAAGCGGGAGATCAAAGATCGTAATTAAAAGCCTTAATTTCAATCGTTATTGGTAAGCTTCGTGCTAATCGTGTTAATTACTCCCTCCATTCCAAATTGATTTACATATTTCATAGATACACTAAGACAAAGAAAAGCTAATAACTCTCTCATACTATATTTACTCTAGCAACAAACTCAGTGCATGTACCATCACCATTATTTTCTAGCCAATAGCAAATCAAGATACTGCATGTGGATTATAAATACTTGAGTGCATGCATGCATCAATGCTCATTTACTCCAATGCACAAATAACGAATAGACTTAATGAATGGACACAAATATGTAGATCATTTAGGAAAAAAAATTATATGTAGATCAATTTGAAATGGAGGGAGTATGTAATAATATAATTAACGGATCAGTAGAAGGACACATGTATATATATATATGTTTGGAGTATATATACCGCTTCATGTATACGCTTGCATGCAATACAAGCTTGCTAGCTAGTGAGAGCAACCCCTCAAAAGTAGTGTCGTTCGTGTACTGATCAATCGGGATCGTTCTGCAGATCGAGTGATGTGATCCATCTTAATTAGTAATCCATCTGATCATAAATATACAACGCAATTAATTTTAGACATGACGTTGAATCTTTTTATCTTATTTAAAAAATTTATAAATTATTGTAAATATGAAAAAAGTATAAGTAGTTATGCTCAAAATATTTGTAATAATAAAGCATGTCGAACAAATTGATAATAAGTGCACATTTCTATTAATAAAGTGAAATATAAAATAGCGTGTCTAAAGTTAATTGTGTCAAATATTTGTAAACTAAGAGAGTGAAACTTTGAGTTTTTCTTTTCTTATCCATTAGTCATTTCCTTCATTTCTTAAAACAACATAAAACAAACTCACAGCACTATCTTTTTCCCGAAGGGGTGGGGCAAGCAAAATCTTCAACCAAATTAGAATTACGAAAGTCCAATACAAGGAAAAAAATGTACCAAGGTTAATCACAAGTAAATTTGTAATTTTTAATTTATGCAAATGAGCAGTATACGAAACATATTACAAAAGTTCGTTCTTAATCCTTGCTAACAAAGATCTCAACTCTTTGATTTAATTAGTTGGATTTTATAGAAAATTAAGATTCGATCACATTGTGACACATTAACATTTGTAATATTTTTTGATTGAATTATATATAGATTGCATTGGGCCACCTTTTATTACTAGGGTGCGATGTATTTTCACCGTAGAGTTTTACTTTCGATCACCCTTAAACCAATCTTTTACTTTGGATTGGGTAACTTTGCTATTTTTTCGGTTTGGACCATCCTAAATAACCATTTTTAGCACCCATCAACAACCTCAACTAAATTAGTTTCGGTACACCGGTAAACTTTTACAGATGTAGGCCATAACTTTACCAGAATGGAGGGTAGACATTAATATTAAAGAGAGTTAGGTGATAAAAAAGAAGTTACCTAGTTCAAAGTAAAAATATTAGTTTAAAGGTGGTGTAAAGTAAAATTTTGATAATAAAAAATGACCAACTGTAATTTAGTTTTTTTTTAAATTACCTTTTTCTATTGTATAAATGATGTGCAAATCTTTTAGTTTCATAGGACCAATAAATAACAAAAAGAACCTCTAAAATTGGCTCAAATTGTTTTACAATATCAGTAAAATCAATATGAGCCGTTTACTTTTTCTAATCCAATGATGATATTTATTTATATTATCGTCTCAACATTAGTAGTAGAATAATTATTTTTACTATTAAATCAACTACGGAGATTAGGGCCCCTTTAAATTACAGGAATAAAAAAAAGAAATACTAGGTAAAATTCAATTTGATATGAATGCAAGGGCAAAACAAATGATTGAAAAACACAGATAAACATAGAAATGGCCATTTGATTGGACCACAGGAAAAATGTAGGAATTGGATGAGAGAGATAAAGGTTGGATTTCTTGCTAAATTTCCTCAATATTCTCTATATGGTTGCCCATTTCATAGGAATTTCAAAGGATATGATTCTATCTTTTGTTTCAAAGGCCTTCATAACAAATTTTCCTATAGGGTTAAAATCCTACAAAATTTATGTATTTTTCATCTAAATCAAAGAGGCCCTCACTTTTACTTCATCTAAATCAAAATTTATGTAGTTCCATTCAATCCTTCGTGGCCCCGTCTAATCCTAGGTTCCTATATTTTAGGGCGGAGGAAGTAATAATACTCCATCTATTTCATATTATAAGATATTTTGATCAAATTTATAGAAAAACGTATCAATATCTACCACAACAAACTAGTTCCATTAAAATATAACAAATATTTTAAAATTTATATTATAACAAATATTTTAAAATACATTAAAATTTATATTATATTTGTTTTATGTTCTATAAACTTTGAGAAAGTTAAAAAAAGTTTAATGTAAAAAAATCAAAACATCTTATAATTATAATAACTAGTTGATGTCCCACCCTTTACTACCAAACATATGGATGAGCATGTTATATATTATATAAATGATAGATATACATGTTTAAACTATGTGAAAATGATACTCCCTTCGTTTCAGGTTATAAGACTTTGGTCAAAGTTAAATTGCTTTAAGTTTCACTAAGTTTATAGACAAATATTATACTATTTACATTACCAAATCAGTTTTATTAAATTAATAATTAAATATATTTTTATAATAAATTTATCTTAAGTCAAAAATATTACTTGTTTTATAAACTTGGTCAAACTTGAGGAAGTTTGACTTTGACCAAAGTCAATAACCTGAAACAGAGGGAGTAGATCATAATTTGGTACTTTCATATTCAGCTTTAAAATATACTCTCTTTGTTTGTTTCATATTATAAGTCGTTTTGATATTTTTTCTAGTAAAACTTATTTAAGTTCAACCAAATTTATAGAAAAATATAGTAATGTTTTTAACACAAAACAAACTCATTATCAAAATACATTTAATGCTAGATTTAATAAGATTACCTAATTTTTTTTACATGTTGCTAAATTTTTCTATAAATTTGGTTAATAATAAAAAAATTGATTTTCAAAACGACTTATAATATAAAATAGAGAAAATAATAAATTATAAATGATGTATCACACTTATATAAGATTTGAGGTACTCTAATAATAACAATAGCGGGTGGGTGATGGTGTGCGCATATTTACTGGAGTAGTAAGGCTATGTTTAGATCCCCTGGCAAAATTTTTCACACTGTGACATCGAATGTTTGGACACATATATGGAGTATTAAATATAAAAAAAATAACTAATTAGACAGATTGCGTGTAAATTGCGAGACGAATCTTTTAAGCCTAATTGCTCCATGATCTGACAATGTGGTGCTATAGTAAACATTTGCTAATGATGAATTAATTAGGCTTAATAAATTCATCTCGTAGTTTACATGCGGATTTTGTAATTTGTTTTGTTATTAGTCTATGTTTAATACTTCAAATGTGTGTCCGTATATCCGATGTGACACGCCAAAACTTTATATCCCTGATCTAAACACAGCCTAAGTTTTATAAATTAGTACTCATTCCATTCCAAAATAAGTACAGTTTTGCACTGTTCATATCCAACCGTTTGTTTTATTTAAAATTTTTGTATGTTTAGTATTTTTATTGTTATTAGATGATAAAACATAAATAATATTTTATGTGTGATTATTTTTTTTCAAATTTTTTTTAAATAAAATGCACAGTTAAACGTTAGAGACAGATACCTACCTAATGGGCTGCATTTATTTTGAAACCGTCGGTTGTCAACTTGTCATCTCTCATCTCAAGTCATATCGCTTCTACAACAATCCTTGTCGCTCGCTCGATCGATCGATCGATCTCTCTAGGCTCTGCCACCAGTCCGCCCTTCCACTCCTCGTCCTTGCGCTTCTTCGGTTCTTCCTCTCCGAGGTCCGAGCTGCCCAAAAGTTTCATCGATCCGTTCTCTGCCACAGCCGCTGGATTCTAGCTTTCATTTGCTTGCTCTGATCCGTTGGATTGGATTGCCTCGTTTTGAATAGTTCAGAGAAACCTTGCTCTGACGGAGTATTGAGGCTGGCAGCAGGTTCGCACTGTTATTTCTTTCTTTATTATTATTTTCTTTTTTCCGCCAGATTATCTAGTTTTGTTAGTGGAGCGATGCTGCCAAGTTTGCAACGATGCAATGCAAGCGCGCTCGTTCAAAATCCTGTTAATTTAGTTACTTACGAGATTCAAGCGCACGAACTCGCACTATAATCTCTCTAAGTTTCCGCGGCGCAAAAAAAAAAAAGTTAATTATACTTTGGTCCACCTTTTATTACCAAAGAAACTTTGAGCCACCCTCTAACTAATATTTTCACTTTAGACTAGGTAAGATTATCTTTGTTGCGGTTTGGACCACTCCAAATTACTTTTCTAGTTGTATCTACCCTCTAATCTTGCGAAGAATAGTCTACATATAAGTCGGGAAGATTATTGGTTTATGGGTGCCGATGTGGTTAAAGTCATTTATGTGCTAAAAAAGTTTTTGGGTGGTTCAAAGTGAAACAAATCAAAAGTGAAAAGATGGTTTTAAAGGTAGTCTAAAGTAAAACTTTGGTGATAAAAGGTGGCCCTAAACGCAATTTACTTAAAAAAAATGCAGTCTTTTATTTTTCTTTTTTAAAAAATGTTTGGGTTTCGCAGGTCCAAGAAATGGGGAGGAAATGGCACCATGTCGCCGCGGCGCTGGCCGTGGCCTGCGCCGCGACGGCGGCCGCCACCGTCGCCGCCGCGGCCGACAGGGGGCTTTGGTCCGCCGCCGCCGCCGCCGTGGCGGAGGAGGGGGAGGAAGCGAGCCACCTGCGCAAGGTGGCCAACTTTTTGTGGCGGAGCGGCGGCGAGAACTCCTACCACCACGTGTGGCCGGTAATTAATGGCTACAAAAAAACTCTACTCGATCTTGAGTTGGTTTTGAGTTCTAGGATTAATTAGTCTGTTCTTTTGCCCCAGTTCAATTAGTTCGTTTTTTTTTATTTTCTATTAAAGATTCCCATTTCCTCCCCGTTAGCAGACCTGTGGTGCCGTAGTGTCCGACTGTTTGATTTAGATGTCTGGAATTTTTGGAATTTTTTATTTTTCTAATTTTTTCTTCTGACTCCATTGCTACCAATTAATCCTAGCATTTGGTAGATCATTTATAAACATGCTATCACTTAATAGAGTGATCTTACCTTCAGTTGTAGCCATACTGAGAACCTTTTTTTACATTATGATAATGAGGCTTACTGAGAACTGCAGATTTAATTTAATTCTTAGAAGAACATTTTGAACCTTCCTCTTCATCTTTCATATGTGAACCAGACGGTGATCTTTGTATAGATGTGCTGTTAATTTGTTGAATCACACGGACCAATTTGTTTTGCAGCCAATGGAATTTGGATGGCAAATTGTGCTGGGGTCATTTGTCGGATTCATTGGAGCGGCGTTTGGGAGTATAGGCGGTGTAGGCGGCGGTGGGTTCTTCATGCCGATGCTGACCTTGATCATTGGGTTCGACGCAAAGTCATCCGTGGCGATATCAAAATGTGAGGTTTTGGTCCTTAATTTAAATCAATTACCAGCATTTTTCATCAGTTGCATGGATTATCTGAAAGCAGCACCCCCATATTGTCCTTCGGTTTCACAATCAGCAGTGCTGCGAAAGCAGTAGTATATCTTCTAATAAAAATATAAAATGATGCATTTTGTGCATTAACTAGGTTGCCTTTCCTAAAATTGTTTTTCATTGATTTGGTCATGTGTCTACGGCTTATAAGCCACACCCGAAATAGTAAGCCAAGGAGGGCCAATGCCTGTCCTTTTCTGGTGTTGCTGAACTTGGCCTGTCAAAACAAAATTGAAGTGAAAACATTGAAAAAGAGGAACTTGTGTTCATGTTTACAGAGATGTATCCTGCTACAATAATAATGATGGACCACTGTGATTAATGTGTCTACAGAATGGTTCTATTTAATTTAATTATGTCCTACCTACAGCTTTCAATATGAGTAGGTAGACCACTGTGATTAATGTGTCTACAGAATGGTTCTATTTAATTTAATTATGTCCTACCTACAGCTTTCAATATGAGTAGGTATCCATTCTGAATCACGCATATGAATGCACATGTATCCATTTCATGTTTCGAATCGTTGATTTAATATATATTATCTCTGTTTCACATTTATTCAACACGGTGATATTGTAATTTTCCGTGTTTTTTGCATCACTGGTGGCTCATCATTTACATTTCTGAATTGTACAATTTGCTTTTACCATTTCTGAATTCAGTTTAAAGAATTGTAAAAGTTGAATGAACTCATACTTTCTTGTTTCCAGAATCTTACAGTCTCATCTTTTCGATTATGCTTATGCTTATCAGCCAAAATTTGAATTTTCAACTTTAAATTTGGAATTGATTTTGAGGTTTTCTCATCGAAGTTTATTTTTCAACCTTTGCTTTTAGATCACTAAGAACACGTATATAAAAGTTTTGTTCACAAATTATTTTTCGTTTGCAAATATGTCATTTGGCTTATTCCATCGATAAGCCAAACGATGGGGGCCTTATTTATACATAATTGTCTTACTGGCATTATATTGGACCATACATATGACAAGCACGCCGCATATTTAAGTTGAAATATTCACAAAGCTGCTGGCAATCTATTGTCTAGAAGAATGGTCTACATCTGAAAATAGATGTTTAGAAATAAAAGATTTAGAGAACATTCAAATATCAGTATGAATTCTAAACATTTTTTTAGAAAATGAATTAAAATCTGGCTTCTACATGGCAGATTGATGTGTAATGCTCCTGCACTAAAAGTGTCAGCTGTAAACAAGTGCAGTTTGGTACTTGGCACTCGTGATAAGCATTTTAGAATTTGTTATGCGAGATAAATCTCTAAGTAACACATCTCTAAGGAGCATTTCAGGTGGAATTCTGTCTGCTCGAATAATAATAAAAAAGGCTTCCAAAATGATCTCATCCTTTATAACATGATGGTATGTTTTCTTTTTTCAGTAATAAATTGAGAGTAGAAAAACCCTGATACTTTTGTTGATGGTTTGTTAGGTTCATGTATCTAATTAATTAAGATATTATGTCTTTCGAGCAGGTATGATAATGGGAGCCGCTGTGTCGACTGTGTACTGCAACCTTAAGCGGAAACACCCAACTTTGGACATGCCAGTGATTGACTATGATCTAGCCCTTCTTATCCAGCCGATGCTCATGCTAGGAATTAGTATCGGTGTCATTTTCAATGTGATATTCCCTGATTGGCTGGTCACAGTTCTCTTGATCATCCTTTTCCTAGGTACTCCCATGCTTCCTGAATCTGCAAACAGTCGATTGATCTGTTTCCTGCTGTTGTTGACTTCAGTTTACATTTCAAAATTAAATTTTAGGCACTTCAACTAAAGCTTTTCTGAAGGGTATCGAGACATGGAAGAAAGAGACAATAATAAAAAGGGTAATGTTCTGAATTTCTGATTCTGTTAACATCCACACATTATCAGTTATCATCCAACATGGCAACATTCCAATCATGAAGCTTCACACCCCTAGGGGCTAGGGTGCACGTTTCAAATTCCTTTCATTCTTTTCATATTACAAATATGCAAATATAATCTTATTTTGGTTCCACTCAATTTCAGGAGGCAGAAAAGCGATCAGAGCAGACAAGTGAGTACGAAACAGAACTACTTTTTCCCCCATGAAATATGTAGATATTTTGCTCATATCTTCGTAATTTATCAGGTGAAGAACTAGAGTATAGACCAGTTCCTGCATCTGAGTCAAAACCCCCTTCAGATGAAGCGGTAATACAAAATGATGAACTTTATCTTCCATTGACTTGGTAACAATCAGTGGTGAACCCAGAACAAAAATTACCGGGGGTCCAATACATAGTAATTATCTAATTATTGACTGATATACTAATTAAAATAATATAATTTAGTTAGAATTGGATAATCTACCCGGAGTCCTGTGACCCCGGGTAGTTCAACGTGGGAGCGCCACTGGTAACAATCATATGAAGCTCTTATAAGATTAAAGCTTGCCTGATACTGCAGGTATCTATTTTGCATAATGTTTACTGGAAGGAATTTGGACTTCTTGCCTTTGTTTGGATAGCATTCCTCGCACTTCAGGTTACTAAGGTGAGAACCTCAAGTTCAAGTTTGATTGGTGACATGATCAATACTAGGAGCATATATTTAAATTTTCAGTTTGCCCTGATCAGCTTGTTTCTGTAAATATGGATACTTCAATTCTTCCTACCTTGTTAGTTACCAAATCCATCATGTAAAAGTTCTTCCTACCTTGCGATGATCATCTTGTTGACTTGTGTGCTCCCCATACAAAATTAGCATAAACTTTTTTTTTTCTCGAACAAACCTTATATGAATTTCAACTTTTGTAAATATACTGCACAGAACCCAGAAACAGATATACTGCAACATTGAGTCATGCAGCTTTGTTATTTTCATGTTTGCAGAATTACATGCCAACTTGCTCCACGTGGTACTGGGTTTTGAACTTATTGCAGGTATTTTTTTTAATGTCTTACCTCAAATTTCAACCATAAACTCATAGCTGATGTAGTTTCATGCAAATATTTGTCAGAATAGAAGATATACAACTTGATATTTAAGAACAATCATCATGGTCCATTCCTACAACTTGTCATTGTTTTCTCAGTAGTCTTTCATTAGAACATACCTACATTCGCTTTATATACCATCCAGGCTATAATGTACTTCTTACTACTTGTTCTAATGTCATAAATAATCATAGCATATGTAATGTCCAACTAATTGTTCTAATGTCCTTTTCCTTTTATAAATGCAGATCCCAGTGTCAGTTGGGGTGACCATGTATGAAGGACTAGGATTGATGCAGGGGAGGAGGGTCATATCATCAAATGGAAATGAGCAGACCAACCTAAAATTTCACCAGCTACTTATGTACTGCTTTTTTGGAATAACTGCTGGAATTGTTGCCGGTCTGCTTGGTGTTGGGGGCGGCTCAATCCTAGGACCCATGTTCTTGGACCTTGGTGTCCCTCCACAAGTAACCTATCATGCCTGATTTTCCTTGTTAAAGAATTAGTAGAAACCTAATTGCAAAAAGTGGTCTCCGCCTTAATGTTAGCCGTGCCATACATCTCATTTTGATCCCTTCCTTGGTATTGAAAACATTTCTCCAGACCCACAAATTCCAAAATTCCTGGGACCTCTGATACCAACATCCTTTTGAGATTACCTCCAATCTCGTGCCCACAAATCCATACATAATGCGACCCCCTTCAGACACCATTCCTCCATAAATTCCTCTCCAAATTCCCTATAATCACCACAAATTTGTATCTGGAATTTGAGTTGAGTCCCCATTCCAACTTCCCCCTTCAAAATTTCTTTATTCCATTCCCGCCACAAAAATTGAAGATAAATGTTGGAACTTGTTTTAATTCCTTTCCTTCATTATTTTCTGAAGAACTCCATTGAAATCCCCTCTTTGGATATATGATTCAGATCTACTTATACCCAAAAATTCAATTTTGTTCAAATATTTTGTGAAATCCCCAAAGTTCTTTCAAATTTGAATCTCACATTTAAATTCGGAACCTATGAAATTTCATTCAAAATTTCATCTCCACAAGGTTCCTCTTGAAATTTCAAATTTCAAACTTTAGGTCCAAATAATCGAAAATCTCCTGAGATACCTTCCTAGAATCAATTGTCAAATTTGAATTCAACTTCCGAGTTCCCTTCCTTTCCTCCCAACAAATAATCATATATCTAAACTACAAAATTCAAATCCCATAAAAAATATAAAAATTCCGACTCCAAATTCTGCCCTTCAATTGCTAACAATTTATCAATTTCGAACTTCTGATTTGATTCAAAACTCAATCAACACATTCAAATAATATTCCTATTCAATTCCCTGGAAATTCCTAAGAAATATTGTGCAACTGGGCCTTGCTCTCCCCTTTTCTTCGCCATCTTGGTCTGGCCCACACTCTTCCTCGTCTTCTGTTTCCCTGAAGCAGGCAGGTGTTGCCTAGCTCTGCTGAGCTCCCCTCCATTACTCCTCTCCTTCATAGCAGCCCACACCACGTCCCACTTCTGTTGGATGCACGTCATGGCAATTTTGCATTTTATGGTTGTACATTGAACAAGATTAAGGGGGGTCAATATGTATTTTTCAAAGTTTAAGTATGGTCAATGCATTTTACTGCTTTTAAAAAAATAAGTTTAGTACTTCTTGTTTTATAACTGTTGAATTTTGTTCGCCCATTTATTTTCGCCTCTCTAACTGAAACTATCATAGGTCGCAAGTGCCACTGCCACCTTCTCAATGATGTTCTCGGCTTCCATGTCTGCTGTTGAATACTACTTCTTGGACCGATTCCCTGTGCCATATGGTAAAAACTCTTCCCCCCCCCCCCTCTCTCTCTCTCTCTCTCTCTCTCTCTCTCTCTCTCTCATATGATCCCAACTACCTGTCATTTAATCTTTCAAACATTTGCAGCTCTTTACTTGACCGTTGTGGCATTCTTTTCTGCGATTGTCGGCCAGCGAATGGTAAGGAAGGTGATCAATTGGTTAGGGCGTGCATCGATCATTATCTTCACATTGTCCATCATGATCTTCCTCAGTACAATCCCTCTAGGTACTTTATTTTCTCCTCCTCGCCCCTCACCGCAGATGATCATATTCGACGATTTCAACACATATATCATCATCATACAACCTTGTGTAATCCGTAGGTGGAATCGGTATCGTGAACTGGATTGGCAAGATTGAGCGACATGAGTACATGGGATTCGAAGACATATGCAAGTTTGATGCATAGGAGGAAGGTAAACATGGGCACTATATATACTGTGCAGTTTCAGCCAATGGAACACATATATCATCATATTTGCCTGGTCAGATTGCAGCATGGAGATTGTTTTTTCGCCCTGTAAATTCAAGACAGTTGTATATTGATATTGTCCCTCAATTGATAGTAGCTCGGAGGAGACAAATTTACTGTACTACTCACTCCATCCTATAATATAAGGGATTTTAAATAGATATGACATATCTTAGTACAATAAATCTAAACATCCACCCAAAATCCCTATAGGACGGGACTAGTAGTTTTTTTAGGTGTTCAGACATGTGAACTCTCCTACAGCAAGTAGTAGTACGTCCATAAAGCTGTGAACTGTGAAGAGAGAATAACAAGAGCAGGTCCAGTATATTGTTCATTTTTACTGGTTTCAGTGTAGTGAATTTATATTTGTGCCGGCTAATTTGACCTGAAAATATAAGGGATCGAACGTTGCGAATGTGCTTATCTTTGAAATGGAACTTGATTACGATGGTAAAGTGATAGCTGAGCTATGGATTGCTAACAAGAAGGTCGTTGTAGTATAGTGGTGAGTATTCCCGCCTGTCACGCCGGTGTCCCGGGTTCGATCCCCGGCAACGGCGTTTCTCATGTTTTTTATTTCCACTCCCTGTAATGTCAAAATTTTCATTTATTTTGGACATATATTGGTCCAATTAAGTTGTTTCCCCCTTTTTTCCACTCCCTGTAATGTCAAAATATTCATTTATTTTGGACATATATTGGTCCAGTTAAGTTGTTTCCCCTCCCTGTAACGTATGTTTCCTAAAGAAAATTTTTTTCTCTCAAGATATATCAGTCTAGTCAACCATTCAAAACTTTAAATACCAGTATCATAAATAATATAGTTATTTTACTTAACCATTCTAAAGAGAAAGAACAAATATATCAATATTATACTCCTCAGGTTATAAAAAGCAATTCAAAATAACATCATATTGGCGAAGTGACCATAATTCAATTGGTGTAACTTGCTCACCCATATTTGTGTATTAGGTACGGGTGTTTGTATTTCCAGCTAATTATCTTTTCAATGATATGGGTATCCATCGACAGCACCTTTAGTAACTTTGATAGTGTATTGTAAATAAAAAATGCATTCAGATATACATGTCACATGTGTATATTTATCTCCAAATGCATTTTTTGCACAATACACTTATTTTATCACAACGGTATGTTACAACAAAAATTATTGTCAAATTAATTAATTAATTTACAACGAATAGGCCGTGGTAACATCTAAACAAACAAGTAATTAATAGTAGCCAGCATATTATTAATTACTCAAGCACGCAGAAGCAGCTTGTCGTCACCTTCTGCATCTCTTGTTGCCTTTCCTTGCTGGGAACGAATTTAATCACGGACTACTCGTCGTATACTAAATCAATCGTAATATCCACTGCACATGCATATATATGATCCATGGATGCATGAAAGAATTATATATCATCCTCGTAATGAAATATATTGCTGCTGTCACATCAATTGATTTGCATAATTTGTCACGTAATCCACCTCAGGGCAGCCAAATTCAGAGATACTACTACATATACAACTTGGTTAATTAATCCAAATGCTTTATTTGTCCACCACTATACCATATTACTGTGTACAAACACTACAATTAGTCACAAGTTAATATATTGTGATCTGTCTCTTGCATCTAATTAACTGATCTCTGAAACTTTCGATCAGCTACAATCATGTGAAATATATATTCCCCGAGATACGCGCCTTATATATAGTGGTATACATATTGACCCACGATCACGTTTCTTGCCTTGTTTGATCACTAAGGGCAAACGAACGGCCATAATTTGTACCAGTAGTTTTGACTTCAGTGGCATGCAGTGCAGTGCACAGTACAGTTCAGCCGACCATTCATGATCCTAACATGATTATTTTGTCTTGTACCCTTACAATTTAATATCTTACTATAATATTCGTTCTAAAATATATAGCAACCTAAAATCAAATTTGAAACATTCTAATAATACGGATCTAGACACAAGACTATATATGACTTTATTAGACATATTATAATATTACGAATCTAAATATGAGGTTGTGTCTAATCTAATACTTCCTCTGTTTCAGATTGTAAGACTTTATAGCATTGCTCACATTCATTTATAAGTTAATGAATCTAGACACACATATATATATATATATGCTTAGATTCATTAACATTATATGAATGTGGGCAATGCTAGAAAGTCTGTGAAACGGAGGAAGTATTAAATTACTAAATTACATATCTTTTCTTCCAAATGTACCCGAGGCATGCACTTTCTTTTCTATTAATTGTGTCATTTATGGAGACTAGCAGCAATAATGTGTCTGCTGAGTATTGCAACAGATGCTAATTAAATAAATGTGCTATAAAAGTAAGAGTTAATTAAATTAAGAGTAGAGTACATGGGCGGTTCTTAAACTTGTAGGGGTGTGTCATTTAGGTCCCTAAACTTTTAAAATGCATACCCAAGTCTCAGAACTTGTCATACTGTGTAATCTAGGTCCCAAATCGCTATAGCCCCTATAGTATCCTACGTGACGCTGATGTGGCATGCCACACGAACAAGACGTGGCATTATTTTGACTAATAAATGAAACCCATTTAAAAATTTTCTTTTTTTTCTTCTTTTCTTATCTTTTTCTCCTTCTCTTTTTTTTTCCTTTCTTCTCCTTTCTCTATGACCCGAATAGAAGAAAGGAAAAAAAGAAGAATGAGAAGAAAACAAAAAAGAAAAAGAAGAAAAAGGAAGGAAAAAGAAAGAAGAAAATGGCACGTCACGTCCATATGGCATGCTACATCAGCGCCACATAGGATCCTATAGGGGTTGTGTCGATTTGGGATCTAAATGATACACTTTAACAAGTTCTAAGACATATATCTGCATTTTGAGAGTTTGGGGACTTAGATGACACAGCCCTACAAGTTTAAGGACTGCCTATACAATTTACTCTTAAATTAAAATGCAAACAAAATTATCATAAAATGGTTCTATAGATTATATAGGCGACTATAGATATATATGGTATCAATTAATAATCTAAATATAAATGTGCTTCTCAACATTGCCAAAACATAGATGTCTACATCCATGTATACATCTAGTTAATTACAAATGAAAGGTATTTATAAAGATGTACTCACAAACATATATTTATCCACTTTGCTAAGGGAGCACCGGTGTATGGTGGAGTCGTGAGGTGCATAAGCATGACGGCACCCACCAAAATTCAAATCCTAATACCAACAAGTACTACGATCATGTGGTGCCCTTATAATAGAATTTTAGTGAACTTATTAGGGATTTATGTTGTTCTCTCTTTGAGTGTGTTAGCTAGCTAGATGGCGTATTCGTAGGTGTGTGCGAGTATGGTGTGAATATGTAGTGGGTATTTGTACGTATGAGTTTTTCAGTGTAATGGAAAAATAAATTTCTGCATTTACTCTTCTTGACAACATTTTAGAAAGGGTACATATGCTACCATATGCATCTTAAATTAAATTCTACTATCTTTGAACAAAATGGGGTACTGCAATTAAATCACACGATGTACATCAGATCTCTGCCTTTTGCTGTAATCAAGTCATCTTATACTCAGTTTCAAGTACGATGTGTAGGTTCCCTTTCCTGGTTCACTCATGTATGTCTGAATAAACTCAACCTGAGTTTATAATGCTTCATTACATTTTGTGATCTGCATGTGTCATCTGATTAATTTCTCACCGATCGATGCAGGGTTAGTCACCACATGGACAACAACCCTAAAGAGCAAACCCTTGTGTACTTCACATATACATGCTTTTCGCTGTCCCATGTATGTGAAGAACACTTAATTAATCGAAGAGCAATTTGAGTGAACCACCAATCATGGATTCCGATCGAGTTGTAGAAAATTGCTTATATATCTACCATATAAAAACATGCTGTTGTGCAAATATTAGTGGACTAATTAATGCACCCTGCCATAATTTTAGACTGCAAATTAAATTACCTTTTTTTTATAATGGCAAATTAAATTACCTATTTTTGTATTTTCAATTGCTTGCAAATTCGATGGCCCTCATGTTAAGGTCAACCACATGTCATGGTTGATAAAGACAACTACGATCGAGTATGGTATATAGCTAGTGTTTTGATGTTCTGAACTTAATCTCTGTTGATAAACTTAGTCACAAATATAGTGTTTTGATATGTCTATTAAAGGTTATTCAATTGCTTTACCGATAATTATATGCACTTTGAATTTGTGCAGGATGAAATCATATATAGAGTCATAAAAACTTAATTTCCCAATATTCACTGGTGGAGAAACCGTTTATAGTCCCGGTTGGTAACCCCCCTTTAGTCCCGGTTGTCCAACCGGGACTACAAATTCAGGACTAAAGATAGACTAAAGATCGATCTTTAGTCCCGGTTCGTGTTACCAACCGGGACTAAAGATCGGTCAGCCACGTGGCCGGCCGAACCACCTTTAGTCCCGGTTTGTGTTACCAACCAGAACTAAAGATCGGTGCACTATTTTTTTTATTTGCATGGCCCTGTTTTTTTTTTTGTTTTTTTATTTGCATGGCCCTGTTTGATTATCTTTAGCCACGTAACTTTTGCTGCACTAAAGTTACGATCTATTACCAACCGGGACTAAAGATCCGGGGGGGCCTGACAAGCCCTGACAGCATTTGAACCGGGACAAAAGATGATCTTACCAACCGGGACTAAAGATCAAATATGCACGTTACCCTTTTTAACCTCTTTAGTCCCGGTTTTTGTTGCAACCGGGACTATTGTGGAATTAGGCCGACCGACGAAAGATGGTTTCTCCACCAGTGATTGTAAATTTCTTTTATTTTTTCGAAGCAACTTAAATTTCCTTCACCTAGCTTGCTAGGTTTCCGGCTTTCCGCACTATCATGCGTGTTACGCATATGGAAGAAGCTCGATCCTTGTTGAAAGTTACGCAGCACGGAAAAATTCTATATGTGTTACCATCGACAAGTGATCAATTCTACAAAATGCTATAACAAAAGGGTGTTTCTTCCTTTTCCTTAATCCCATGCCAAAAGTCTAATTTACCTCTATGATATATGATGTACTCTTTATGCTGATATTATACACTTCTAGGGGTAAAATAGACTTTTTAATGCGTTAACAGAGCTCAATTATAACAGCTGTCACCTGACAGTTATGGCAGAATGGGAAGAAACATGCTTGTGTGGTGGCATTTTGTAGAACTCATGTTTGGTATTACCTCAGTACTAATATACTTGTCATCCTAGATTATTTAGCAAAAATTAATGTTTAGGAAAAATGGCTATAGCACCCTCTATTAAATTAATGTTACATGATTGGTAGGTAGAGAGTAGAATGGAGAAATTTTGAATTGAAGATGATTGATATGATAAAATATACTTTAAATTGACAAGTTCTTCAGAACAAATTTTGAATCGTAAGTGACATCTATTTTGAGACGGATGGAGCACTTCGTACCATTGATCACTTTGTCGATGGCCAAATTATAAAATTTCTTTATCCTAAGATTCCATTTATAATTTTTGCAGTTACCATGAATTACCTTTTTACATATAAAATAACACATTCGGTATCAAACTATACACAGAGTAGCATATAAGTTAAAATTTTGTCATCTATCTGTTTTAATAATTTATTTGTTTTTTCGCCAGGCCTTAATAATTTATTTGTTGCTCGGATCGGATAAGACAATACAGTTATTTGTGTTATCACCAATCATGACAAACAACGGCACCACGCAACTAAGAAAAAACCTGCATTTTCATACACCACACACAGGAGATCATGATCTCCTAAAAACTACAAAGCCCACCTATTCTCTCCGGGAACAATGATCTACAAGGCAGACCAGAATGGAAATGCCATGGCAAGCAAGCTTTGCATGCATGAGATCGAGCTAGCTAGCTCAAGCTCAAGATATAGTTTTGATTGCTCTTAATTTGGACCTTAATTAATTACGTGCTAGTGTACGCTATTCACTACTTCATGTGACGCATGCATAGAATGATGGACATCAACCTTCGCTAATGCAATAGTGGGTGACGTCGTCGTGCCAATCTCATTGTTATTTCTTGATACTTGCATGTAGATATGAGCCTAACTGTCGAAATGACCTAACTCAAACTATTAATCGATTGATTGATAGCATATGAAGCTGCATGGGCCTAACTGTTGGATGATCAGATAATTAATTAACTAAGCTAGCTTAGGGCATAGTAATTGTGTACAAGTCCTACACTCTTTGCTAATTAGCTAGTTTGCCCCAACACACCACACACTACACATGCACATACACAGTTAAGCTTGATATCTCTCTCTCGCTCATCGATCACACTATAAATACGTTGCCCTAGCCATGGCAATTTTGCATCACAAGATCATCAACTAAGCGAAGAACACACACACAAACACAAACAGAAAAACACAACACATTAAGCTAGCTAGAAGAAGAGAGAAATTAAAGAAGCTAGGAGCTAACGATCAGGATGGCTGCTGGCATGGTGGCGACAATGGTGCTACTGACGTGCCTTGCTGCAGGAGGGCTGGTCGTCGGAGCTGAGGAAGACGGTGGCGGCGGCGGTCTTGGCCGGCTGGGGTCGCCGGACTACGGCGACGCGCTGGCGAAGGCCATCCTGTTCTTCGAGGGACAGCGGTCGGGGCGGCTGCCGGCGAACCAGCGAGCGACGTGGCGCGGGGACTCGGCGCTCACCGATGGCCGTGAAGAAAACGTATATATATTTACAGCCTTACAGATATAATTTGCATCGATCATTGCATTATACTACTATATATTTGCATGCGTTTTTCTTAATCCTGTTCTCTTATCGACGTAAAGCATATAATATTAACGATGAAACAAATTATCGAGTACTAACTCCGTGTATTAAATATATGGCACGGTTTGACCTTTTTATAATTGTTTGACCATATATCTTATTTAACTGTTTTATACAAACATAAAAAGAAAGTAATGGGAAATGCTGCGTGTCGGGCGCCCGAGCGGCCGAAAAAAAAATCGGACGCCTCGAACCACGTGCTGAGTATTTTAAATAGCTTTAAAACGATTTTTCTCCTAAACTAATTATCCAATCTACGATCCGATCACGCCGTTGTATTCGTTCAATTAAATCTTTATAACAAGACCACACATAATTATATTTCGATAAAATAATATTTTAGCTTTTTTATTGATATTTTTTTAGAATGCTGCATTTGGTTCTTTAGATGTTTCAACCAGTAGTTTTACGATGTTTCAACTAGTGTACTCGTGATGTTTCACAATATACGGATCAAATGTTGCAGTGGATTTTGATATTATAGAACGCGTCGTTGCAACAAACCACTCACATAATTTGGAAATCCTCTATTAAGGAAATTTATTTCTTTTTTTTTCCACAAAAAATGTTTCACCTAGTGTATTCATAATGTTTCACTATATATAGATCTAATGTTGCAGTGAACTAAAACATTCCATTGCAACAAAAAAAACCCACATATTTTGGAAACCCCCTATTAAGGGAATTCGTTTCATTTTTTGTTCCACCGAAAAATGTTTCACCTAGTGTAGTTATAATGTTTCACTATGTATAGATCAAATGTTGCAGTGAACTGAAACATTCTTTCGCTATTTGCTGAAACATTGTTTTTATATAAGGTGAAACAACGCCCGATTTAAACGAATGAAACATTTTCGATCTATTTAGTGCAACAATTCCGATATACCTAGTGGAACATCGTGTAACATTTAAAAATAATTCAATAATTAGGTAAAAAAAATTTCGTCGGAATATATCCATGTGTGGTCTTGTTTTGAAGATTTAATTGCAACGAATTAATGGTGCAATCAGATCATGATTTGGATAAGTAATTTAAGAGAAAAATTAGTTTAAAGTAAGTTTGCACGTAAATCGGGCGCTGACGTCATGCTGACGTTAGCGTCCGATCTCACCCCCTCCCGATCGAGCGCTTGACCGGGAGTCGTGTCCGAAAGTAATGGTTCAAGAATGTATAACAATAAATCAAACAAAAAATTATAACTTTTTTATAAATATTTAAAAAAAATCAAATGACGTCATGTATTAAAAAAACGGAAGAAGCATTGATCAATGGAAAGAGTTCATATTATGTCTCTCCATGGATAAATATGATTTTGGTATGGATTAATTCAATGGTGGTCAGGTGAACCTGACCGGCGGCTACTACGACGCCGGCGACAACGTCAAGTTCGGGTACCCGATGGCGTTCACGGTGACCCTGCTGGGCTGGAGCGCCGTCGAGTACGGCGCCGCCGTCGCGGCGGCGGGGGAGCTCGGCAACCTCCGGGCGGCGATCCGGTGGGGCGCCGACTTCCTCCTCCGCGCCCACGCCTCGCCGACGACGCTCTACACCCAGGTCGGCGACGGCAACGCCGACCACCAGTGCTGGGAGCGGCCGGAGGACATGGACACGCCCAGGACGCTCTACAAGATCACCGCCGACTCGCCGGGGTCCGAGGCCGCCGCCGAGGCCTCGGCGGCGCTCGCCGCCGCGTACGTCGCGCTCAAGGACGACGGTGACACCGCCTTCTCGTCGCGGCTCCTGGCCGCGTCAAGATCGGTATGCGCCACTGACATGCATATATGCATCTTCATTTCCATCACAGCCACATATCTTGGTTTGAATGTTTAGCAAATTTTGACTGAATTTGAATATTTTTTGTTAAATTCAGATTTTTTTTTTGGATATTTGAAATTAGTATGTGCCATGATAGCATCTGAAATTCTGAATTAGCTAGTCTTGATTTGCATGTACAGTTTATGCAGTGAGCAAGCATAGTTAATTTCTGCAGGACAGCAGATGAGAATTAACTACCAAGCCATTTGATACTAGTTTGGACTATTAACTAGCTAATTAATTCGTTTTGACTTGATGAACACCATCAGCTGTTCGATTTCGCCAACAACTACAGGGGATCATTCCAGTCCTCCTGCCCCTTCTACTGCTCCTACTCTGGATTTCAGGTAAAAAAAAACACCATGCAAATAAACCATCACAACTCTTGAACTAACCTATCTGCAACAATTTATCAAAAACATCAGTGAGATCGTAAGAACAGCACTGACAGATATAATTTGGGGGAAAAAAAAATCTTTCAGGATGAGCTCCTCTGGGCCTCAGCGTGGCTCTTCAAGGCGACGCGAGACGCCAAGTACCTCGACTTCCTGACAAACAACCAAGGATCCAGCAACCCTGTCAATGAGTTCAGCTGGGACAACAAGTATGCCGGAGCACAGATGCTTGCAGCACAGGTCAGACATCACAGTATCCACTGAATAATTGATCATTGCAGTGACCTTCAGATGAATCTCAAGTTCATGCCTCTGTGCCTTTCAGGAGTACTTGGGAGGGAGAACACAGCTAGCAAGGTACAAGGATAACTTGGATTCCTTTGTATGTGCCCTCATGCCTAACAGTGGCAATGTGCAGATAAGGACCACTCCTGGTACAAACCTGAACATGACGACATTGGTTCTGAATCCAGTAATGTTTCTGGGAAGGCATTTTTGACATGTTCTGGATGTAGGCGGACTTCTGTTTACGCGCGATTCGGTCAATTTACAGTACACAACAACTGCGACCCTCGTTCTGTCCATCTACTCCAAGGTGCTCAAGTCTTCTGGCTCCAGGGGAGTTCGCTGTAGCGCTGCAACATTCTCTCCAAATCAGATCAGCTCATTTGCCACGTCTCAGGTAGGCTACAATAGAACTTCGACAAGTTTCAGGTTTTTGCCAAGATGGTACTGTTCAATATCTGGCACGCTTCATGTTTTCAGGTGGATTACATCCTGGGGAAGAACCCTCTGGGCATGTCATACATGGTAGGGTTCAGCACAAAGTTTCCGAGGCGCATTCATCACCGTGGCTCGTCCATCCCGTCGATCAAAGTTCTCAGCAGGAAGGTCACCTGCAAGGAAGGGTTCTCATCATGGTTACCGACAAGCGACCCAAACCCTAACATCCATGTCGGAGCGATTGTCGGTGGACCAGATGGAAATGATCAGTTCAGTGACAACAGGGGGGATTCATCACACTCTGAGCCAGCCACATACATCAATGCAGCCTTTGTGGGTGCCTGTGCTGCTGCAATGGGGCAGAAGCAGGTGGTGAAGCTGGAGGAGCCTGCGGACAACTTAGAATCAATGGTATCAACTTACTAGAAAAGAGGGATGCAGAAAATATATGCAAGAATAAGATCATTATTATGTATTCATGTGCAACTTCTATGTGTGAGATTGCCTTGTAACATCAGTGCTTACTTGTAATATATCCCAGCTCCTTATCAGTGTGTACAACATGATAATAAATAAATACCATAAGTTCATACCAACTATATCTGCTGACCAAAATTCCAGATGCAAAATCCAGCACAAATATTGCATCATGTAGCTTGACAATTTTCATTTAAACTCATTCCAGTTTGATCCAACAAATGGTTATATACAAACGTGTTGCAGTATTCCAGAAATAACTGGAATTTAAACAACAAGGACATGATCTATTTTCCACTGCCAATTCTGTTGTTAAGTGTTTTGTTTTGTTTTATTTCTTTTCTTTCTTTGTTTGTTTCCTTTTTCTTTTGCTTCTGCCCATTAGATGTCAAAATGGACCATTAAATTGTTCAATCCATGAGCCAGCCAAAGATGCCCAGTTCACGGCAGTACCCACAAGAAGCTCCCAGAACCAAAGATCCACTGCGAGAACTGAAGAAAAGATAAGCAGAGCAAGTGTCTCGTATCTATTCAAAGGCCACCCTGAGACTTCAGCCATGGTCTTCAGGAATGGAAGAGATTCCCTGTCTAGCTCCCGGCTTCTAATTGACCATGCTGTCACCCACTGGACGTCAGCTGGGACCATATTGAGCTCTTCACGAAGACGTCTTCCCAGGTCCGGCATATGCCCACCTCCATAAAGGACAGCTATTCTCTTGTACCCATGGTTTATTGCTTCCTGTATCTTCTCAGTAGCAACTCTATTCCTTTCCCCAATGATAACTGACTTTTCCTCAATGGGTGAGGTCATAGATGTGAAACTACAAAATACAGAGTGCAAATAAGAATTAGTTTGTTAATGCATAGTTTTCCTTACTGGATACAGAGGGTACTCACTCGGAGGTCAATTGCTTAGCCAGAAAAATCTTCAGTGCAGCTCCAAAATCTAGCCTGGACAATGCTTCAAGCTCAGGATATCCACCTTGATCGTCGATTGGTAAGCAAAGCCCACTGATAAGGAACAGTCCAACAAGAGGCATTGGTAGAACACGTGAGGCCCAAAGCAGCTTAGACCTCCAGAAGTCAAGACCATCAGGCAATGTTGGTTGTACCAAGGCTTTAGTTGATTTCAGTGTCATGTCTACCGCAAACGTGAAAAGACTTTCACCTCTTTCACTCTGACAGAAATGGAAGGTAAATTAGCATTTAGTATATTTGAAATTTGAAAGTGCCATGGCAGAAAGCACGGACTACAGAATAGTGTGTATATGGCTTTAAATGGTTTTAGGCTATATTCAGTTTGCAAATCAAGGTGAAACCTACACCCTATGACAAATGGAAACCCAAGGCAGTAACATCTCCCTCCAACAGTAATAACACAAAGCAATCTAAAGAGCACACTTCTTATTCTCTAGCTATTATGACAAGGGAAAAGTTGCAGGCAGCAAAAGGGATACTGTAACCACATTATTACCTGAAGCTGCTTGAATGTCTCAAAATCAAGGTCAGCATGTTGCCATTTTTCACTGCCATAGTCAAGGCAATCTAGCTGGTAATCCAATGAAAGGATGTTTGCCATTTGCTTCTGTATGAAGCCAAGAATACTGAATCCCCTACGTGAAGATTTCAGCTTCTTCGCAAAGGTTGGGTCCTTGCGATTGTTTAAGTTCTCCCGACTTGTAACCATTTCATAAAGAACACAATCATAATCTTGAAGTGCTTGCTGGAGTCTATCGAAGTATCTGTCAAACAAAACTGTAGATTTCAGCTAATGCACTTAGTAGTGAATTGTGCATATACTACAAAATTGTGCAAATGGAAATGAGCACAGGGTATGCTCAGATAAGCAAATGATGATTGCCATTATGCCATAGACAAGGTTTTTTCCATGCGAACAAATCTGAATGCCAGTAGACACTAATGGTTAAACATAAAAGGGCCTAGAGCACATACTCTTTGTCAGCAATGTGGACAGTAGAAACCAAATCAACCTGCAGCAAACAGAATTTCACAATCAACCACAAGCAATAAGCTAATCGGGAAGTCACAGAAGTTTACGAAGTGCTTTATTACTTGGAATTTGTAATCAATCAAATGCAAAGCTAACTCACAAAAAGGAAATCACTCCATTTCATCTATGTCGATAGCTCACTACGACTATATTAAAAACAAAAATCCAAAATGTGAGGAGGCCGAGTAGTAAATCAGAACCCAGGGGCAGCCCGGCAGGGCAGTATTTTCAACAAGTTGATTGAAACTGTCAGAGTGGATGTGAGCGCGTAGAATTGTTCTAGTTGGGAACTAATAAAAACACGAATCAGGTGAGCCTCTCTGCCTCTGGCAAGCACCCCGCACAACACCAATTCCCATCCCCACGGAAGACGAGTTCAGATTCGTACAGAAATTCTCCAGAATTCGGAGTCAAGTAGCTTCGATCGATCAAAAAGGCTTACATGGAGGAAGGGGTGGATGAGCGACCACGGGAGCCGCTTCTCGTACCGCACCACCGCCGTCTGCAGCTCCCCGCCGCACACCCCGGTTCCCCCACCTCCCCCGGCGGACCCCGGGCGGCGGTACCGCAGGTAGTCGGTGATGGAGCTGCTGCTTGCCGCGAACCTCTCCGCCGCCCCCGCCCCCGGCCCCGCCCCCGCGGCCGCGACGACCACGCCGCGTCGGCCCGGGAGCCCCCGCCGGCGCGCGCGTGACGGGAACGAGGCGACGAGGGAGGTTGAGGATGGCGCCGCCGTGGAGAGCATGGCCCGGGACCCCGGAGCGAGCGAGCTAGGGTTAGGGTTCGGAGGGAGAGCGTGCGGCGATGGAGGAGGAGGAGGAGGCCGGCGGCGAGGCCAAGGCGAGCTCCGGTTTGTTTCCCGCGGAGATGGGGGAATGGGTCGTCGTGGATGGGTGGGGTGAGTGGGTGGGTTAGCTAGCGTGCGGGGCGTGTCACTGACGGGTGGGGCCCACCACGCGGGCGGAGTGGAGGCAAGTGTAGCCGCGCTTGTGGGCGGCGTGGATGGCTGTGACTCCGCCACGAGCCCACGACACCGAGTGCTACGAGTTTTTTTTTTTTCTTTGGTGGAGTAAATCGGGCAGCGTGGAACAACTTGGGTTACAGCCTCTGAGGTTGGTTATTTTCCGGACAGTCAGTGGCTTTATTTGGATGCTCCGAGTTATTAAATAGCTCTCTGAAATTTTATTATTTAAGAGTATTAAACGTAAATTATCGACAAAACCGATTCCATAACCCCTAGGCTATTTTACGAGACGAATCTAATGATGTATATTAATCCATGATTAGCGGCTGATTAATATAGCATCACTGAAGCAAATCATGGATTAATATACCTCGTTAGATTCGTCTCGCAAAATAGCTTAGGGGTTATGGAATAAGTTTTGTTAGTAATCTATGTTTAATACTTCTAAATATAATAAGATTTCGAAGGGCTATTTAATAGCTCTCCAGATCCAAACAACCAGTATTACACGCGCGAGCACACACGTACACTCTACTACAGAATCTTCTATGAGCACCTTCAAAACCTAAATCAATACTACTCCTATATTAATAGTGAGATAATCAACGTATATATCTCATTAAAAATTAGTTATAAATAGTGACGTACTTATATTTTTAGGTTTCTTTTAAGGTTTTAATTTCACTATTCTCAATATTTATTTAAATTGGAGCATTTACTAACTTTGGTCTAAATTCCATTAGGTTTTATTTCCAAATTTAAAATTATCGTGGTTAAATTATTTTTACAATTCGATAAAACCCACCATTTACTTTTGGGTAAAAAACTATATTTCCTTATGCTTTTAATTGCCATAAATCTAAATTCCTTTGAATCCATATTCCAAAAATAATTAAAAGAACCTAGCACTCATAGGGTCCACAAATATACCATCCAAAACTTTTATCCAATATCACAATAGACCATAAACTCGTTCTTTTTAAATCCATCCCCTTCAAATAAATCCTATTCAATTCCTTAAGCCACTATTTAGGCTTTGTTCGGTTCAAAGGATTAACAAAGGATTACTATAGGAATTGAAACAGTATGATTTTTTTTCCCTCTATGCACATTCGTTTCATAGGAATAGATCTTACCGAATTCCTAAGGATTGTAGTCTTACAATCTTGCCCATAGGATTTTTAGTATGAAATACTTCTTGGAAAAATTCTGTAACATCCTGAAAAATCGATCAACCAAAATCAAAGTTCCAAAAATATGGGCCTTCAAAAACCTTTTAATCAAATTGCATCATGCCGATTTTATTCGCCTATTTCATTGGATTTTGATTTCGGAGTTCATAGATCACGAATAAAGAATAATTAATTAGGATTAAACCCTAAAAGTTAGATTGGCAAAAGAAATAATTAAGATATAATTTAAAATAAAGATGAGGTGAGGATAGAAATGAATAAAATATTATCGCGACCATATTTGTATCAATTAAATTTAAATGCGATTGAATAGGAATTTACTCTAATTAAATTCAAGTAAATTATATAAAAATAAAATATCGGTAAAATAAATCTAGAGTGGATCCATTGGTTGGAATAACACAAATATTGAATAAACCACATTTATGCAAAATTTAGGATTTATAGAATCAAATTTAAATAATAAATAGGCTAAAATCGGGTTAAATAAGAAAAGACACTGTTCATTGCACTCTAGGTGCTCGACGAGGTCCCTAGCTCTAACCCTCCTCTGCCGCGCACGCCCGGCCACCCCGAGCCCCGCGTCGCCGTCGCCGTCGGCCATCCGCCCGTCGCGTCGCCGCTGCTGCGCCGTCGCCATCGGCCGTTCCGTCGCCGCTCGCCCGTCGCGTCGCCGCTGCCGCCCGTCGCGTCGCCTTGCGCCCCGTGCCGCCGCTGCCGCGCTGTCGCCGTCGCCGTCGCATCCCGCCCCGAGCTGCGCGCCACTGCTGCCGCGCCGTCGCCGTCACCGTCGCCGCACGTGCGTCCTATCGCCGCCTCGCGCCGCGCGCCACTGCTGCCGCGCCGTCGCTGTCGCCGCGCGTGCGTCCCATTGCCGCCTCACGCCCCGCGTCGCCGCGCCGCCGTCGCGTCACACCCCCCCCCACCCTCCTTCTCTCCCTCTTTCCCCTCTTCCCTATAAATACCTCCACCCCTCTCCATTATTCCCCGCTCCATTCCCCTCTTCCTCCCCTCTTTCCTCTCCACCGCGCCACCGTCCTCGTACCGCTGCGCCGTCACCCTCGTGCTGCCACGCCGCCGCCTTCGTGCCGCCGCGCCGCTGCCCTCGGTGCCGCCGCGCCGCACTGTGTGCCGCGCCGGGCGTCGCCGTCGCTGCCCCCGCCGTCAGTAAGCCGCCGCCCCACCCCTTGTTCCGCCGCCGTCGCCGCCCGGGTGGGCATGAGCCGAGAGAGAGAGATGGGAGGAGCCGAGAGAGAGAAAGGGAAAGAAAAGAGAAAGAAGGAAAAAGAAAAGAAAAAGAAAAGAAGGAAAAAGAAAAAGAAAAGGGAGAAAAAGGCAAGGAAAATAAATAGGAAACTAGGGGGAGATTTAGAATATTTAAAATATTAGAATTTAATTATAGGATTAACTAAAATGTAGTATTTGCAAAATAATACTATAATTATAGATTATTATAGATTATTTTTGGTAATCTCTATAAGTAATCAATTCGCGGTAGTAATTTAGATGTATTTAAGAACTAAACAATTAGATGAATTCTTAGGACGTAATTTCAAATCACAAAATGACTTAGGTTGAAATGACCCAACAATTCGAATTAAGCGGTTCCGCGAACTTTGCTGTCAATTTAGAAAGATTGATTCGCGTTCGACTTTTGTGTGAATTATTTGGATTTTTATTTGAATTCTAATTGAATTCAAATCGATTCTTCGCACGTACTTGTAGAGCCCGAGGGAGTTGTGGATCCGAGTGAAGGCCAAGACCCGCAAGACTTTGAGCAAGGCAAGTCATCACTATTCCTTGAACATGTTGATCCCAATTACGAAATTAATTTTGTTTACAAATAAAATTGCATGCAATGATGAACATCCTACTTGTGATTAAGCCATGCCTTGATTATTGTTTACCCTTAAATCCTTGTAACCATGATTACATATGAGTCCCTAGTCAATTATGACAATTGCTTAGAAATGCTATTCTAGAATCATGCATACTCATATTTATCAAATGCTGTATGCTTGGGCAATTACCTTTGGGAAGGTAATTGAGATGCGGCATGTGGAGACATGAGTGCCACATTGCCATGATATTGATTATATGATTTGTGAAAGGAAAATAAAGTAAAACAATTGTTTTCGACTGGGGCGGCTGGAGGATTTGGGTGGTGTCCGGAAAAGGCTAGTGCCGTCCCTGGTCAACTAAGGACCGAGCCATGAAGTTAAGCATGAAACGACCCCCGTACAACCGCACTTCTCGTATGGGTATAGACCTAGTGGAGTAGATAGCTGAGTGGAGGCAGTATCCATGCATAGTGGTTTCTTGATGTGTGAGGCAAGGGCTCTACGGTGGGGCAGCCATTGGTAGGACCGCGAGGCGGGTGTCTACAGTGGTGTCGCCATCGGTAGGACTGCCATGTGAGAATATAAAACATATTTATAACTTAATGCATGTGTGAGTCTTCCCTTCCCGGGTGCGCCAGAACTCCTCTCACTGCTAGAAACCGTGTACGCCTAGAGTGTATGAGGATGAAAAGTTCATGGAGCGGGTACTGCCAATGCAAGGTTATCGAAAAACTTTGCCGTGATACGTCTCATGTGTTGGGACGAGGCTCATGTGTTGGGCAAGTCGCGGAGTGTGGGTAAAGTGTACATCCACTGCAGTGTGAGTAAAACAAATCTATTCGAATAGCCGTGCTCGCGGTTATTGAGCACCGGGACATGTATTACACTTGGCTAGACTCTAAATTCTTAACTTGTGTGGGATGGGATATTGCATGATGATTTTTGTGCTGTTGGAGCCACTTCCTGGGAGGAGGGAAGGTGGACGTCCTCAGAAAACCATGAGACTCAATGGTGGGAAGCTATCCTTGGGATCACAATGGATGGTGGACAGAACCGTCGTTGTTTAAATATAAACACTGATACTAAAATTTGATCAGTCAATGCTAGGTCTTAGGCTTGTGAAAAGAATTACAAAACTTGCTTTGCGCAAAAGAATCATAGCCATCCTTTGAAATACCCCTACCATGTGCATTGTTGATATGGTGGCTTGCTGAGTACGGTTGGTACTCACCCTTGCAAATATAAACTTAATCAGAGGCTGGAGATGAAGCTTCGGAGGATCCCTATGCCTATTACCAGGAGGGTGATGAAGACGATGGCGCTCACTAGGTCTTAGTTACGGTCGTTGCCTGTGGCAATGGCGTGTCGCTGCCTTAATTCCGCTGTCTTATCTATTTCTGCTTTTGGGATGTATTCCGGACCGCTCGGTCCGATGATTTAAGACTACGCCTACGGGCATATATTGTAATAATTCGCACTAGACTCTCGTGTATGTGCATTTGGTATTTCAGCTATGAACTCGTGTGTACCAGACTACTTGATCCAGGGAAATGGTACTGTTTACACGATTGATTCATGTTATAAAAACGGGGGTCCACAAATTCCTATGGATTGGAGTCCGTGTGATATCCTAAGGCTCGCTTTGATTTAAAGAAAAGTTGTAGGAATTCCGGAGGATTTTATTTCTATAGGATTTTTTTCCTAGATACCCCTTTGAATTAAAGGAATGAAAACAAATGAATCCTATGAAATTCATGTTTGATGAAAACAAAACAACAAACACAGATATTCATTAACATGAATTCGTAGGAGTTCGCTTTTTTGCCTTTGAGGGATGCTTAAGGGAGAGGATATCTTGACCAGTGGCGGATCCAGAAAATTGATTCGTTGGTGTCATAACGTGTCTATCGGTGTCATAGTATGCTAATAATACTTAGATCATAATGTTATAACATATAGATAAGCAATTTTGTTATAGGTTTTGCCGAAAGTCGTCGGTGTTGCCTGACATCGGCCTGAGTACCGTAGATCCGCCCCTGATCTTGACGGTAGATTGTTGTAGCCCACTAATTTCCGGCACCGAGCAACGAGGCTACCGGATGCATCAATAGGATGAGCCTATGTAACACCAGCTATTAAGCTACGCTTGTGGTCTTCGTCTTCAAAATAATCTGCTTGCTAAAGGTGTTAAGGATGGTGTAGATTTAATGCTGAGTATGGTAGAATGGGTGGCTTTGCTTCGCCAAACCCGGCTACGATACGTTGTTATTACGTCGGTGTATAGAATAGGTGGCACGATGAATGGGATGACTTTTGCCTTTGTCTATGCCCAGTCGTTTATTTCGACCTTCATCGGATATGGATTTGTGGTTGCTTTTGCGTCGTCGGTGCCCAACAACTGCGCATCAATTTCTATTTGTTTGGATGTATTACCAATGTAGCGTCCTGACCTTGATGGCGTTCGGCCATAATTTTGTCTAACAATAGACGCATGTGGTGGCCATAGCTTTGTCAACTTTAGCCAATGCATCATCCAGCCTTCTTGGCAGTGCGAGCTCTCCGGTCGGGGTGTGAATGGGAGGAACTCTTCGATTGGTTGCGCTCTTGGGGAGGAGTTGCTGGCTGCGCCGCGAGTGGGGGTAGGAGCTTGTCGACCGGCTGCGGCATGCGTGGGGGAGGGGCTCGCTAGCCTGCTGCACTCGGGAAGAGGAGTAGCCAGTTGTGGCCCGAGCAAGGGAGGAGCTCACCAGCCGTGGTTGCCAAGTTGGTGTTGTCTCCCTATCATCTCTGTTGCCACCACTGCTCGAGCTCGAGCTCTGAGCCCTCTACCGAGCCGCCGCTACCTAATTTGCTCAGCATTGGTTGTTGTTGGGCGCACCCACCACTTTCGAGGACGATGATCATGACCGCTGCTTCCCTGGCTTGTGTAACTCGAGCTTGGTGGCGGGACGACGCAGATTGAGCTCGGCGACACCGTCGCTTGTGCCCCTCGAGAGAGAGAAGATAAAAGCGAAGAAGAGAGGTGGGGTAAATGTGTTAATGACATGTGGGCCTATGTATATTTTTCTGACTCAATGTTGGTTGACTAGTTCAATGTGCCATATAAGCAAAAACCACTCTCTAAACCACCAAAGGAGTCGATTTGCGCTGTTTTTCGAAGATGGGGGATGTGTTATATCTGGTTTTGACTGAGGTTCAGGTATGCAATTCAATCATCAACAGAAATGAGGAGGTAAAATAGACTTATTCCTAATACAAAATATCCTCTTGACTCATATGCAGTGTAGAGAAAGAGGTTCTTAGTTTTATGTATCGTATTTGTACATGCTACTAATATACTCCCTCCATCTACTTTTGATAGTCATATTTTATCATGGCACATAAATCAAGGATAAGTAATTTTACTTATCATCCATTTAAACATGCTACTAGTTATTCCTCGTAAACAAGCGATTCATTAATATTTACATTTCTCGATGCCCATGTAGCCAATCTTGTGTGGAAGAATTAAGAGTCACGCATTAAATCCGAGAAAGTCATTAAGAGGATAGGTTGTTGGATTGAAATATGCCTATCAAAAATAAATTTTTCAGATTTGGAAATATGTCTATCAAAAATAGATGGAGGGAGTAATTTCTTTTTCTAAAAGGCTGTAGACCTGTGTATATCACGTACTTTTTTTTAGAAATAATACGTGCACACTTTATCTCTATAAATGCATCTGGACACCCTGTTACGAGCACTTTCGAAACACTAAAAGACTAGATCGACATATTTTTTTTGAGATTAACGAAGTTACTACGGGCGCTTCATTTGAAAATGTTAGCTACAAATATTTCTTTGAGAATTTTTTTTAATAGTGAAAAAAAGCACGGCCTCTGCTTCATGAGAAGGTAGAGCCAAATTATTACGTTGTTTACATAACATCCGTCTACATCACAAAAGAACTAAAGATCACCAGCATACTTTAGATGACATGACATTATTAAAAGCAGCTAAATTTTCATATATGATGATTAACAAAGAGTTGCATAACCATCATCCATAAATAACGATGTGTGTTGCATCTGTTATTTGTCTCTCATCACACTTTCACAATAGGGCCTAGAATCGAATCCAATGAGTTCCCTGCAAAGTAAAGCAGAGTAAAAGTAGGTTTAAACCAAAATCAATATGAACGTACGTACCTCCAAAGAAACTTAACATAGTAACATTCAAATAAGAGAGAATCTCTTATATGCCACTAGAAATTGGCCAGTTTCTTTATATGCCACTCAAAATTGGCTTATCCCTTATATACCACTGGTTCAAGTTTTTTCACCCTTTTATGTCACTCTCAGCACTATAGTGTTAGTTGACTGTTAGTCAAATGTTAGTTTTTTTTTTTGTAAATGACAAATATGCCCTCTCAACTAAAAAAATGTGTAAACTTCAAAAAATCATAACTAATTTATTTTAAATCCTTTTTGAATGAACAAAATTTTGTCAAAACCAGTGAAAAATGCTCTTTGTATTAAAAATATTGTTGGAAAATTGCATGTTTCATGCTTATATTGAAAATTTATTTGTGATGGTGATGGCAAAAATTGCATGTGATGGAAAAAAATCATTTTTCATATGTTATATCCAGTAGCTATATTAGTACTAAAATACCTATTATTAGTTGTATACCAACTCTCAAGGGCAATTGCGTCTTTTTACTATGAAGTTAACGGTAAACTGGTGGTGGAGTGACGACAATGACATAAAAGGGAGGACAAACTTGAACCGGTGACATAAAAGGGAGAAGCCAATTTGAAGTGGCATATAACGGAACCGGTTAATTTGGAGTGGCATATAAGGGATTCTCTCAAATAAAGAGAGAATGAATTGTTTCGTTTTGGTAAAAAAAAAAAAAAGCAACCCTGTTTACAATACCATCCCAATTTCGTGAAACCACTTCTTTGTACATGTACTACATAAAAACTTGTATCGTAAGTGGCATCTTCATTTTTCACAAAATCTTGTTACTCTGTACATAACCAACGTTCTTTTTTTTAAAAAAAAAACTTCTATGTAACCATCGTTTTTTTTAAAAAAAAAACTTCTACATAACCATCATTTATTGAAGCTGTATACATTGAATCAACCGAGAATTTCCCATTCTGATGAATAGTCCAACTAAAACAATAAACTATTTTTGGAAGAAAGCTAGCTTTAATACTAATAAATAAATACATAGATAGATAGATAGATTCTGAAAAATAAGCATTATTTCTGAACGGATGGAACACATACCTGCAAATACCAAAGCAGTAGCATTCAACTATTTCTGGAAGAAAGTTCATCTGTTCACACCTTCAAAAGATCAAACGACTGCTGATTAATGTATGAACAATGAAAGAGAAACAAGTGAAACAAGATCAAGGTTTCTTGGGAGCAAGAGGCAATACCAATCCTTTGAATTTGTGGCATTATACGTCTTGGAAGGACTCCACTCCTGATAGTAGCCTCTGCAGACTGGATCTCCCGATTTTCAGCATATTGACAATCAAGTTTGACACCAACATGTTTGAGTGCTTCAAGATTCTTGATGCCAAAGTCGAAACCGCCATACTTGGACATGGTCTTTCGAACCCCAATATCAAGATCAAGCTTCTCGAGATCTGGCATAGCCCCTTGCACAAATTTCAGCCCCATTCCAACACAGCAAAACTCAAATTGCTTCAGACACTCAAATCCCTCGGAGTCAATGATAAGCCTCTCTTCTGGGGTTATTTCCAAGTGGATTTTTAGAAAAAGCAGTGAATGAGACATGTCTCTGATGATATGGAGATCTTCTTCTTCCATCCTATCAAGCTTGATTTCCAAATGGATAACGTCCTTCAGCGATCTCATGCTCCTTGGAACTCTGGAAATGGAATTGGAAATGACAAGTTCTTCGAGTTGGGGAAGAGGACAGTATGGATTCATCAATGAAAACACCAAGGAAGAACCATTTGTAAGGTCGATCTCTAGTGATCGAAGATTCTTCTTTTTTAACAAATTTTGCAGAGATGACAACAAAACATCTTCATGCGTGCTGACTGATTGCCTTGGGGCTTGTTTCTTCCCGTTAAGCCATGAATACCGGCAATCTACTCGGAACACTCTCAGTTTGGTCAGCTCCCCTAGTGCCTTCACAAAATTCAAAGAGTTGCATAAGATGGCAACATGTGATAGCTCCTCCAATGCTTGCATCTTCCCAATCTTATCTGGCAATGTGACTCCAAGGCTGACAAAAAGTCGCACCAACTTCTGCAATTGGCATAATGATGGTGGTAAACTTTGTATTTGACAATTTCTAACATCAAGAGTCTCTAAGAAATGAACCTCCCCAATTTCTTTTGGAAGTTCTGTCACATTGGTATATGCCAAATTCAGATACTTCAACTGAATTAAACTTTCCATGTTTTTCATTTTTTTGTGCTCCCCAAACTGACAGCCTTTTACATCAAAAACCCGCATAGCTTGGAATTCAACAAAAGGAGGCAACTGTGCAACAGGCGGGAAGAAACTCACAGACCGAACATGGCGACGATTATTTGTGACCACCTGCATTACTTCATTTTCGTTGGAATGGAGAGATAACCATCGAATTTTGCTCGGCATAGGTAGACACTCCGGTCCATTCAATGTAGTGATAAAATTCTCTTCTTTTGACAGGGACACTATAAGCTCAAGCATCAGATCATGGACTCGACAAGCTCGTGCAGAACCATTATATTGAATATCAATTGGCTGAATCAGACTCCTATTAACTAGCTCATTAAAGTAGTTGTTTCCTTCTTCCTCCATTAATTCCTGTTGTTCTTTCCCCGAAATGAATCCTTCAGCAATCCATCTCAGTACCAATCTCTCTCTATCAATTTCATAATCCTCTGGGAAGGAGCTAAATGATAGGAAACAGTTTCTAAGATCATAAGACAGGTCATAAAAGCTAAGGGATAATGTCTGTCTCATCCCTTCTAGTTCACATGCATTGCCAATAGAACTTTTCACTCTCTTCCACTCTTTCCTTGTTTTTGGTTTTTTAGCAAGCAAACTAGCTAACGTAATTATGGCCAACGGTATGCCACCACACTTTTTCAAAATTTCATCGGCTATTTCGTCCAATGCCTTTGGACATTTACCCTTGTGGTCAAAAATGATTTTAGAAAATAACTCTTTGGAGTCAGCATCATTTAAAGATTCCATTTCATAGATATGACCATTGGACCGGGGAGAACGTGAGCTCGCAACATTGGACATGCGAGTTGTAGTAATTACTCTGCTTTTCTTGTTGTTTCTAGGTAGAACTGACATCAGATTCTCCCACATTTTTGTACTCCAGATATCATCAAAAACAATGAGGTACCTGTATTCAGTTTTACAGTGATAGTCAGGCCCTGTTCGAAGCGGTGGTGGATGAAGATTAAGTACGGACATAAAACGAGAAAGGCATTAGCATATGATTAACTAAGTTTTAATTATTTTTATCTTGAAAATGGATTTATCTAATATTAAACTTTATTTAAAGTTTTCGCACGAAATGCATCGTTTAACAGATTAAAAAGCGTGCCAATGAAACCAAGATAAAATTTGTATCTTAATCAGAAACAAATAGGACCAATACTATCAGGTTTTTATTAAGTATGTATGGCTAGAAGGTGGCTATAAGATTTTTTTAGAGATAATCCAATAAATGCCATTGACAAGCATTCAAATCTAGAAATGGCATCGATAAGTGTGAGTTCCAAGAAATACCATCGTACAAATAACTTTGTCCCAAAAATGCTATCGCCGTTAGGGTTCCGTCTATTCCATGTCGTTAAGTGCTATAGAATGAACAATATATTTAACAGTGCGGAATGGACGGAATCTTAACGACGATGGTATTTTTGGGACAAAATCGTTGGACTATGACATTTCTTAGACTTCACACTTATCGATGACATTTCTTGGATTTGGACGCTTGTCAATGGCATTTCTTAAATTATCTCTTTTTTACTGTGTATCCATTATTCCATTGCAGTGAATATAAGACATCCATGTATTATATCTAATGGAAGAAATTCAGCCATATTATTTTTTTAGTATAGCTGGTGGGATGAAACAATAGGAAACAATAGTTTTGGAAAAAAAAAATGAATGGTCTTAAAAATCAATGAATAGATTTTAAGCAGGGATCATGCACTCACTCATATTTGGTCATCGAGCGAAAACATCTATACCCGTCTTAAATGAGGTGTTTGGTGACAGCAACTATACCCGTCTTAAATGAGGTGTTTGGCTGTCATCAAGTTCTTATACTTGAAAAATGCATATTCATATCCTAGAATTTTTAAAATGTGACGTTCAAATTAAAAAATGCCACATATATACTCCTTTAGAAGCCTACGTGACGCCAACATGGTCAAAGAGAAAGGATAGGGAGGGGAGTGACGTTCCATCCATGTCAGCGTCACTTAGGCTCTTAGGGCCTTCACAACGCACTGAGGTGGCGTTCAGCCTCATAGCCAAGAACCGAATATTTGGCGCCACATCGGCAATATGCGGAGCCAAAAGAGGTACTAGGAGCCAAACTTGGATACTCAGTTCTTCGAACAAAAAAAGCAGGGAGAAGTAGAGAGAAAGCGTTGAGGAGGGCGCAGCCTCGCGCAAGTGGCTTCGCACAGGCGTCGGCAGTGAGCACGTAGTCCTCAAGCGACGAGGATGGGAGCTCGCCGGTTGGCGTCGTTGCCACTCGACCGCGCAGTTGCCCGGCGCCGTCGCAGCTCAAGCCACCCCGCCCGCCGCCCGGCGCCACCGTGGCTTGGGCTGCCCCGCTGTCCAACGCCGTTGCCGCTCGACTCGCCCGGCGCCGTCACCGCTCGACCCGCCCGCCACCCGGTGCCGTTGCAGCTTAGGCCGCCCCGCAGCCCGGTGCCATCGTAGCTCGGGCCGCCCTGCCGGCCGCAGCCCCGAAGCATGGGATTCCCCGGTGAGAAGAAATAGAGGAGTGAGAGATTGGGAGATGAAAGGATCCCTGTGAGAAAAGCTCGAAGAGGGGGAAAGAAGAGCGGCGGAGAGAGGGAGGGAGCTGCGCACCGGGAGGGGGAGATGAGCCGGGGAGGGAGGTGGAGCACAGCCGCCGACGGTGGGTACAGGTAGAGAGAAGAGAGAGAGAGAGAGAGCGCAACCTAGGAACGGCAAGTGTGGTCCTAGCCTAGCAAATCCTTGGCCTCCTCCACTGTGGAGTGTGTGTCCTTCAAGGTAGTTGGGTTAGGTGGCCACTGAGGAACGGCAAGTGTGGTAGCTGCACTGCTAATGCCCTTACGTAGGGATGAAAACGGTACGGGGAAACGGACGGAAACCATCTTTATCGTTTTCGTTTTCATATTTTTTTCGGAATCGAAATCGGAATCGGAAACCCTGAATACGAAAACGGAATCGAATATTATCGAAATCGAAAACGGAGCGAAAACGAACCGGCGCGAATACGGTAACGAAAATTTATCGGAATAAAAAACCCTTCAAACTAATAAATCCAATTGAATAAATTATCTATGTTTAAAAGAGTAATGTTGTTGATAAATCCCAATGTAGCACAAAAATATTCTTATGTAATTTTAGATTTGCATAACAAATATTTTTTTTAAGAAAAATAACAGCCAAACACCATGGTATTCACTATTTAGTGCTTAAAAAAAGAATCAAGGGTATTTCAGTCACAAAATTTCTGGTAATTCCGAGGAAATTTCCGGAAATTCCGAGAAAATTTCCGGAAAGTTTCCGACCGATTCCGAGTTCCGACGGAAACTGCCCTTATCATTTCCGATTCCGTTTCCGAGAAAATAGTTCCGAATTCGTTTCCGTTTCCGAAAAATTCCGAAAAAATTCCGACCGGCATATTCCGTTTTCGAAAATAGGTCCGGAATCCGGAAAGTTTCCGTACCGTTTTCACCCCTACCCTTATGGATGGGGAGCAAGTTCGTACTGACGACATTACTTTTTTCCCCCTACTATATTTAGAATCGTGAGTGATACTTTTGCACCCACAGTTTTTTTCTCTAGAGGGGTTACTAATGTTTTTTTTAATATAATCACTCTGTTTAAAAAAAATTAAATCTTAGTAATGAATCTAAATCTAGACACACATGTATCTAGATTTATCCTAGGATTTAAATCTTTTGGGGATATAGGGAGTACAGTGGATGTGCAGTGCATGTGAAGTGGCAACGGATTGGAGCGGGTAAGGGGGAGCGGTTCTACGGCTGTGGTGGTTGGGCGATATATGGAGTGGTGGCGTACCTCCCTGCGCTCCTTCTCATGCTTGGTCGCCTGCAACGGGAATGTTGTTTCTAGGTGGATGGAGATTAAAGCCAACGAGGGTTTGTTGGAGTTTGGGTAGCTTTTGAAATTGCCTCGCTACGGTATTAAGTGGCATGGTTCGTTAAGCGGCAACACAATGCTGGCATCAAATTAAGTTGCCCAAATGGCCTTTTATTATGCATATATCTACGTATGCATAACCCTTAACTTACAATGCAAATAGTTATTTTAGTTAATACAAGAGTCCATCTTAAGGTGTTTGGATAGTTGGATTTATCTACATAGGCTCTGGTGGCCTAAATTTTAAAGGGTGTTTGGTTGATGGACAGAGGTGGGATATGGCGGCCCAGAGAGTAATATTCCCCTTAGATGTTGGATGCGGTGCTCCGGGTAATTTGTCCGGATTCAACCGCATTCCCGGATCGACGAGCTGCTTGCTCGCATCAACCCCCCCCCCCCTCTTCTCTCATCACAGCCAGCGGAGGAACATGTTGGCATCGACCGACGGGGGGTGTGGTGACCGGCAGGGCAACAAACAATGGCGAGGGTGCGACGATGACTGGTGGGGGCAGGACACGATGAGTGGGACGGTGACTGGATCTAGACCACCGCAGCTTCCGAGCTCCTCCTCATCGGGATCTGGAGGCGTCAAATCCAGTGAGGCGTACTGAGGGTCCCGCCACCCCTACGAGGCCATCGTCATCGTCGTTGTTATTGTCAAGTGGTGAGATGAGGTGGAGGCCGACTAGACATCAAACAATAGCGAGAGGAGCGAGGAGACTAGGCGGCGGCTGGCGAGCGAGGAGATGAGGAATGAGTTGGCCACTGGTGAGAGGAGCGAGGAGACCAATTTTTTTTCATTTCTTCCGTACCCATGGACACATCTTCCAGATAATCGTGGTCGCCTCCACTGTGCATGTTAGCTGCCTGCCTCACACTAGCCTGGATCTACGTATAGTTGCTACCTAGCCTCCACAGCCCCTCACCCACGGTCACTGCTGCCAAGCACTGAGGAGTACATGCTTCGACCACCTGCTGCCCCCATCAGCCGATAGCCCGACCTATGCCAGAACTTGCCTCTAGAAGGGCTAGATCTAGGTGCCACGGGAAGAAGGGAAGACCCCCCACTGCCACCGTTTTTACGGTTGCTCAGCTTGCTGGTGAGCTGCTCAGATGCAACGAGCAGATGAGTGTCGTCCGAGTCGCCCCGTGGGATCGAGCAGCACAGCTGGGAAGGAATAGGAACGGGAACAGGAACAGATTTCAAACCCTTGGCTTTATTATAGCCTCAACCAGTACGGTTCTATACCTCACCCCTCTAAGGCCTTGTTTGATTGTCCTGGGAACGTCCGGGCTTGGACTGCAATCCCGTGGGTCGGACAGACGCATATTAAAGCCTGGCCCATAGAAAAATGTGCATTCGGTTAAAGAAAAAGTACACCGAAGGTCCCTCAACTTATCATCGAGTTACAAAATCATCCTCCAACCACAAAACCAGATATCCGGCGTCCCTCAACTAAATTAAACCGGTCACAATAGATCCTCGGGTGGTTTTGACCCCGGTTTTATCCTACGTGGCAGCTGAGTCAGCGTGGAACCCACGTGGGCCCCACATGTCAGGATGCCACGTCATCTCTCCCACTCCCTCCTCTCTTTCTCTTCTCTTCTCCTCTTCTGTTGGCAAGCAGGATGGTGGCTGGGAGGAGGGTGGCGGCACGACGGCCGCGACAGCCCGGCGGAGAGGAGGACCTCTCCCTCGACGTGGACCTCTCTGGCGCGCGGATCCTCGACGAGCTGCTGGAGATGCCATGGCTGTCGGCGCCGGGGGACCAGCACGCGCTCATAAAGCAGTTGCTTTGCTCCGCCTCCCCGACCCTCGTTGATGTCGAGGGAGAGGTCCTCGCGGAGCTACTGAAGGGAAGCGGGGGCGACGGCGGCCACAAGGATACCTGCGCCGTGTCGTCGTGTCGTCGCCACAAGGATATCCCTACCTCCACATCCACAGGGCTCCAAGTTGGTCGAGTCCACCGCCGCGGCACCTGGCAGCCCCGCCTCCGCCTCCGCGCCCAACGCCGCGGCGCCCGCCCACGCGGGGCTGCTTCGCTGGCGGCGGCGACGTAGCGTCTTCGACGCCATTCGCGACCGGCCGCCGCCCTCGCTTTCTCCTGCGTCTGCTCACCGTAGCTCATGCACGACAGTGCGCCGCCGCAGTCGCCCGTCAGGCAAGTCCCGTTGGCGTCGCTGGCATCAAAGAAGCAGCCCGTGCGCGGCCGCACGCGGCTCGAGGCTTTGCCGGCGGGCACGCCGAGCGCCCACGACGTGCCCGGGTCGAGCCAAGTAGGGGGGCGATGTGGGCCTCGTGGGCGACGACCGACGGGGGAGCCCCCTCGCCACTACTCCTCCCGCAGCCGGCGCGCTGCTCCTCCGCCGCCCGCGCGCCACCCCGCTACTCCTCTCCCCGCCGACTGAGTCAGAGAAGAGAAGAGAAGAGAAAAGAAGAGAAGAGAAGAGTGAGAGAGAGAGGAGGAAGGGAGAGAGATGATGTGGCAGCCTGACATGTGGGTCTACGTGGGTCCCACGCTGACTCAGCCGCTACATAAGATAAAACCGGGGTTAAAGCCACTGAAAGACCTGCACGAACGGTTTTGTAAGTTGAAGGATGCTAGATATCTGGTTTTGCGGTTGGGGGATGATTTTGTAACTCGATGTCAAGTTGAGGGACCTTTGGTGTATTTTTCCTTCGGTTAAGCCCGTCACGGATTGGATCCAGGCCGACTACCGACTACGGCCTTTCTCCCTCGTCCTGGGCCGGGAAAAAAATAGTTGCCCATGTGGAGTGGAAAAAATCCTCGCGCACGGGGGGAGACGAGTAGAGCGCAGGGGGAAAGTGGCTGCGGCGGCGCGGGCACGGCTGGGAGTCGGCGGCTCGACGGAGACACAACACTCTCCCCGGCAGCGGCACTCTCCCCTCCGTTGACCACCTTCTTACTGGTGAGTCTCTCTTGCTTTCCCTAGCCGGAGAGGAGAGGGAGGATGAAGGCTGATTGCAGAAGGAGCACTACAGGATTGGAGCCGGTGATTCAGGGGGGTTTGAGGGATGAACTGGTTTCATTCTTTCGGATGGCTAGCTCGATGTACGGATGAAAATTTGTAATTCTTTGAAGAAAGAACATGATATAAATGAGCAACAACCATATTATCTTGCACATGCAGCATTATATCTGTCAGACAACTGTGTGTGCCTGGAATAGCACTAGATGGAACATTTCTGAACATTTTCCAGGTGTAGGTCTTTTTCAGTGTGTAAGTTTTGCTCAGATCAATGATAAATTCTATTATGCATCTTGTGCTTCTGCTAACTAACCTGTCTCTGTTCTATGTACTAGGTGCAGATTTTGTGCTAATCCAAAAAAAAAAATCGAATTGAAGATGTGTGCGTACCTCTTGTCTTGAAGAAAATCTTTGACGATTTCGATGAGTTGGCATGTATCTAAACTGCTGCTGCTGTCAGTTGGGATGACTGAAGGAGCAATCTTGGTCAAAATGTCCCTGATTGGCCTTTGAGACACAGACACCAGAGCAGCATAGTCAAATTGGCCTTTGATTTTGCGGTGCACCTGATTGGCAAGAGTAGTCTTGCCTAGACCTCCAGGGCCAAAGATGGACACGATCCGGAGCTGCCTTGCCGACGACTCGTCTTCTTCCATGGTCAGCAGCTCGACGATGCTCGCCACCGGACCATCCATCCCCACAAGCTGATGGTCCGGATCCACATACAGCGCCTTCACGCGGCAGTCGATTTGGTCAGCTACGGCGGCGTCAATGGATGATGAGCCACCACCACCAAGCTGGGTGTACCTCATCTGCCGTGCGCACTCGACTTCGATTTGGTCCCTGAGTTCTTGGATCTGCCTGGCGACCTGGTGGCGCACCATCAGATTCAGCTGCTTCATGAAACCCCGCACGAACCCTGCCCTGTCACGGGCAGAGCCAAGGCGGTGTGTGAAGGAATCGATGCCGTCCTCGACTTCGTAGGCGAGCTCGCGCAGCTTCACCCTCCACTTCTTGGTGCCGTGTCCATTCTTCTCCATCTCCACAAGCCGTACCAGCAAGTCGTCCATGCCGCTCAGCTCGGCCTGGAGGAACTCCACGTCGCCGCGCACCTCGCGGAGCAGGGTGTACTCGTCATCGAGCAGGCTGGCGAGCTTGCCCAGGAGTGATGTGATCAACCCGGTAGCACCACTCGCCAGCACCTCGGCCATCTTGCTGAGATCTGTTTGCCTACTGAGCAGAGCAGAGCTACAAAGCTTGTGGGGGTGCTCGTGCTCGTACTCAGAGTAGTGGACTTGTGGTTCCGCTTTGTTTTCGCTATTTGTAGGCATTTTGAGTGGGGAGTGACGTATTAATATGTGATATATATAGCTCCACCAACATGCAGTATAAATTCAATTTCTACATCTCGTAACTGAAAAAATAAATTTGACTATGAATATACGTTAACGAGTTGTAGTTTAATTTGTTTTTTCGTTGCGAGATATAGAAGTTGAATTTGAATTTTTTAATTCCCCTCTCTCTATCTTTTGAAACTTTGGCCTGGTCCATGGGTGAAAAGTTTTGGCGTATCACATCGGATATACGGATACCTATTTGAATTATTAAACGTAGTCTAATAACAAAACAAATTACAGATTCCGCCCGTAAACTGCGAGGCGAATTTATTAAGCCTAATTAATCCTTCATTACCAAATGTTCAATGTAGCACCACATTATCAAATCATGACGCAATTAGGCTTAAAAGATTCGTCTCGCAATTTACACGCAATCTGTGTAATTAGTTTTTTTTCTATATTTAATACTCTATGTATATGTCCAAACATTCGATCGATATGACAGGGTGAAAGGTTTTTGCGTGTGAACTAAACATGGCCATACTTCTTTGTACTAGTTTTCTGACTTTAATTTTTTAGTTCTCCAAACATGTAGTACTGTCTTTTAACATATAGGACTGTCACTAGTTGTCCCAAGTCCGTGTTTAGTTGTTTGGGCAAAAAAAATTTTTAAGTATACGGATATACATTTGAAGTAATAAACGTAGACTAATAACAAAGCAAATTACAGTTCCGTCTATAAACTGCGAGATGAATTTATTAAACCTAATTAATCCGTCATTAGTAAATATTTACTGTAGCACAACATTGTTAAATCATGGAGTAATTAGGCTCAAAAGATTCGTCTCGCAATTTATATGTAAACTGTGTAATTGATTTTTTTTCCATATTTAATACTCTGTATATATGTCTAAATATTTGATATGACGGAAGTTTTGGAAGTTTGAAGGGAACCGCACACGGCCTAAAACTAGCTACTAACCCAAAGCGCCTAAAACTGGCTACTAAGGCTGTGTTTAAATCCAAAGTTTGGATCCAAACTTCAGTCCTTTTCCATCACATCAACCTATCATAAACACATAACTTTTTAGTCACATCATCTCCAATTTCAACCAAAATCTAAATTTTGCGCTGAACTAAACACAGTCTAACCCAAAGCAGTTCTGTTGTCGAGAAAAATAAAAAATAGAAGGTGCACGTGAGCTCCCTTTTTTCTTGCAATAAATCAAACCTCGAGATCCGTTTAAAGTCAAATTAAGACTCGCGTCTCGACAGCCGCACGCTGCTCGCCTGCACCCTTCACCAAACCCTACTTCCTCTGTTCACACCCAGTGACTGCTCGGTTTTCGTAGACCACCCCAATAATTTTGGGGCCTGCATCAAATATAAAACTAACCTTATCATACTAAGAGCAAGGTTAATAGTACAGTCAATAACTAACTTCAATTCATCTATAGCCAATCTAATAACCAATTCATACAATAGTTGCTTACTATACTATTAGTATGTGGTCCTACCTGTCATACACACATTGTGTTTTAAAGTCCGTACTACAGCTGGCTACATATCTATAATCCGCTGCTCTTCTCTCTCATCTTTTATCTCATTAAAATATGTCTGTAGCTAGCTAATAGTTTGCTATTGTACCTGCTCTAATTACATAGAATGTAGTCCGCGCATTCACGCTGGCATGCATTGTCTCACCCGGAGTTTTCCTTTCTCTTAGGTTCCAATCCACTAATAAATGGTCTATAGAAATTACTTTGGTTAATCATGAGAAAACCATAATTACCAATATATTTAATAATCAGAATTTTTTCAGGGAATTTTTTTTCGAATTCTCTTTGCTTCAACATCATTAGCAGGACTTAAAGCGGAATTCTCAGAGCACCGGAGGCAATGTTGCTAAGTTTAAAAATGTCAAGATCACATTAATATTAATTATTCCTTCTTCCTTTGGTCGTGAATTGTGCCGAATTCACTCCCCTCTCTGTCCGCTGTTTCGTTTTGCATGACGAACCGTGTCTGTTTTCGTTCGCGGGACCGTTTCCGTTCTTTTCCTAAACGGCACCGCATTTGTCTTCCTTTTTAGCAAAGTCCTAATCCTAACCTCCTATTCCTATTTTCCTCCCCTGTCTCCCTATCCTATTCGGCCCTCTCTTCCCCCCTGCTGCCGTGCGCGCCACCTCCCCTGCCCAAGCCCGATTCGGCACCCCCTCCCTCCTTACAATCCGAGTCCCAACCAGCCCCACCTTCTCTTAATTACCCTCTTATTTTCCTCTCCTATATAAGTCTTAGCACCCCATCTTTTCCCTATTAAATTTTGTTTTGCTCTAGCCCTAGCCGCAAGCCACCGCCGCGTGTCCCGCCACCGTTCGCCGTCGCCGTCTGTTGGTATTTCTTACGATCACAGATGAAATCTGCAAGCGCACGGATATACCGATGTAGCACTTCCCTTATGGAGTATTCCAAAGGATATCGAATCCAAGGGAACGTGTATGATTAGTTCTTCCTCCGGTTCATCCAAGGACACCAAGCAGATAATAGGCCAGGATAGAGAGGATTTACTAGTGAGAAACAGTGTCTAGGGAAAGCTTAACTTTAATCCTAACGCAATACTTCAGGCACTGTAACCCACTGTTCCCAGATGTCGCTCTACTACATACCCGGATAGGGAGTACTTGAGTGCTCTTGAGGGCTGTCACCACCTCTACACCTACCTCTAACGAACTGTGGGATACGTAGCAACCACTGGAGATTAATTACCCAGACACCGTGTCTACGCAATTAATAACTACTCTAGCGCCGATCAAACACTAAAGCAATCACTATAAATTAATGGACTATAGTGAACAATGATCTCGTATGCTATCTAGGAACTAACCAAGGGATAATTCTCACAGGATAAATCTAAATTACTCAGGAAGAATATTATATTGAATTCAGAGTAATGAACAGAATAAAAGAAATGAAAGAAGATTACCGACAGCTCCGGAATTCTTCCGACTTCTTCTACTCTACTCTTTTCCTATTCTAATGTACAATATAGTACAATAGAGCCTCTTATAATTCAGCTCAAGCTTGGAAGTGTGTGTGTGAAGTGAGGGAGTGATGTCTTTATATAGAGGTAGGTATGACGGTTAGAGAAGGGGAAATGTCCAAAGTGCCCCGCAACCGCCATCAGGGAATGATCTGGAGCGTCCACGCCAAACCCCAGTATCAACGGTGATCAGGGGGGTTCGGCCGAACCTGGGCTGGGCCCATCTGGCCTGGCCTTTGGCCCATGTCCTCCCCTAGCCCTCCTCTATCCATTCTTCGGTATTTTGGGCTGATTCTCTGGTGTTTCGATGAAGTTCACAACCCATCCTTGTATGGATACATAATTCTCCTCGCTTTAGTCTAGATTTCCTCCCAACCTCGGGGTTTATTACCTGCATACAAATAGAGATGAGCTCATCCCACTATACAATTAAAATATGCCTTATTAAAATAGTTTTAAAATGATATTTAAGTTATAAAAAATCATTTATAATTAACTTATACCCGATTTAAAATTGCTATTACATTTGATTTATCACATATAATTAACAAATACCTCATTTACATAGTTTAAAATTCCTATTAGCTTTTAAAAATCATATAATTAACAAATGCCTTATTTACATAGTTTAAAATTGCTATTAATTTTTAAAAATCATATAATTAAAAAATGTCTTTTTTAAATAGTGTAAAATTGCTATTAAATTTCAAAAATCATATGTAATTAAAATATGCCTTATTAAAATAGTTTAAAATTGTTATTAAATTATAATAATCACGTGTAATTAACAAATGCCCTATTAAACATGGTTGAAGTTATTGGAATGGCATGAAGCATATGCAAATCATTCATTAAGGCTCCGATACAAATTACTTCATTACTTATATCAATTTGCAAATTACATTACTACAGAAACTTCACTTACAAGGATATGCCTTCCGAATGGTCTGAACGAGCGTATGCCACATCATCTTCGGGATCATCGTCAAGGTCGATCTGAGGTCTCACATGAAGATTCTGGTTGTATTCTTCTTCATCGACGACGTTGTCAACCCCAACAATGATGCTCCCTTGGTTGTGTAACCTTCAATGATGCTCCCCTCTGGTTTTGCTATCTTCCAAACGTAGGACTTCAGAACTCCCATGTACCTCTCGAATGGGCCACATTTCTCTTAGAAAAGTTGGGCCACATATTTTTGTTTGCTTCACTAGATGAACAGGGAGATGAACCATGATATCGAAGAAAGACAGTGGAAAATACATCTCTAAGTGACACATGATATTGACAATATTGGCCTGCAACCCATCTAGGTCTTTGGGATCTATAATCTTTGACCTATTGCATTGAAGAAGGCACAAAGTCATTGGATCATGTGACAGATTTTTGGTGGTAGAATGCCTCTAATGGCAACTGGTAAGATCTGTGTGATTAGCACGTGGCAATCATGAGACTTCATTCCAACCAATTCTAGATCCTCCAATTTAATGTACTTACTGATCCTCGCTGAATAGCTCAAAGGAATTTTAATATCTGCCAGGTATGATAGCATTGCGATCTTCTCATCCTTCGACATTGTGTGGCAAGCTGGTGGGAGGTACACTCTTCCTGTCTCTTCATCTGTAACAGGCTGAAGTTCACTGCGAATGTTCATCTCCTGTAGTTCTAGGCAAGCATTCAACCCGTCCTTTGTCTTTCCAGGCATATTCAACCGTAGCTCAAGCAAACTATCACACCCATTCTTCTCTACGTGCATTAGATCAATGCAATATGGATTTAGATAGCCGCCAAAATATGGATTTTTTCCACATACCCTTAGCAAACTCCTTGCTACGTTTTCTTTTCTTCCCAAACTCATTAGTAATGTCCTTCACCATGTAGTGGACCTGATCTCCAGACAAATCCTTGGGAGCAGACCCAAGTTCTCTTACTGTTGAAAATTTTCCTCTTTCTTCTAAAGGCATGACGTAGTGGGAGCCATCTCCTATGACTCATGTAAACCATCTTTCTTGATTTCTTCAGCCTCCTACC